AAAATAACACTTATTCTGTGTCCTATTTCCCTAATACAGTGAGGAGGCATTGGAAGATAAACTAACTGAATGACCCCCCTGAACTCTAGTCATGTAAGCATGATCTGGATGCACTCATAATGATGTGGTATTGATGTTGAGATAAAGCTTACAAATTAGTGGCAGTATTCACTCTTACACATCATTATTAAAATTAGGAAAAAATATATGTGAACTTGGTATACATGTATGCAAGTACTATGTGAATTATGAACATTGTGTTGAAGTCTGCATACCTTCGCTGTTTTATTGAGTAGTTTAATATCTTAAATGTTGATTAGATTCACTGGCACACCAAGAGTTCTTTCCAGGACCATTTGTACCACACAATCAACAAAACACTGTGGGTCTAGAAGATATGCAAACTGCATTAAGCAAAGAGGGGGTAGATACCTTTATTTAGTGATGAAGTCTTGCATATTTACCTAGACGTGGTATTGTGATATTTCATTGTATAATATCCTTTTCATGACAGGTAGCATATTATGGAAAGGCCAGTAGAGTTCTTGATTTCTTTGAAAGTGTTGGCTTGGTTTGTGATGCTCATTTTAATCCAGCTGATTTTATATGTAAGCAATACTTTACATGGTTATTAATTTTGGTTGATATCAACTAAAGTGTAGACATACTTGTACACCATACTGTAAATGTATGATTGACACAATATGGCTGGCTCCACAAGCAGGTACTTTGAACGTTGTATGATATGAAGAAAATCCTACATTTTGTTTGGCTGCCTGAGCAGATAAGTTCAGCTCTTTAAGGGCTACCTCCTTTTCATTTGCAAAATCTTAGATTAGCTTTAGCTAGTTGTTTAGTCAAGATGACTTCATGGTGGCTTTTCATGCATGAAACACACGGATAAGATGGCAGCCATTGACTGCACAGTCATCTTATACCTATGCTTGGTCAACCTATACTTTGTCAACTGCATGGCTGTGCTATCAATAAATTACGTATCTATGCCATACAATTCCTGAGCTGCAATCTGTGTTATTTGTTCAATGGAAAAGGTTACTGAAGGAGAGGAAGTTCAAGAAAGGATTGTCCAAGGCTGGGCTGAAAGGTTGGTGAAATTATGTAATTGCAGAAAAGTAGACAACAGCTGTAACATTTCTTTCCCATTGTTTTCATCATTGTGTAGTTAAAATATTTACATATGTGGTGATGGAAAGAGTTACCTGGTGCTTACATCTTGAGAGAAAAACACATTTTATCTCTTATTTTAGACAGAAAAGACGTCAGAAATATTCAGCAATTTCCTACGACCATAGACCAGGAAGAACTGATACCCCAAGTCCTACTCCAGAGAAGGATGACAAGTACAAATCACAGGATATGGCGAGTGAAACGAGCCCTAAAAATGGGCAGCAAAAAGCTACTGAAGAGTTACAGAACAAGGATGATGTGTCTGTTCATTGTACTTCAGATGTACATGAGGTAGATGAGAACTCTGAAGTCCCTGAAAAAGAAAATAAAACAAGTCCTGCAGCTGACAGAAGTGGTGAGTCCATTGATGAGCTGTCAGTTGCTGACAGTCTGAATGAACAGAAAGATACCCTAAGGCAGGAGAATGGAGGTGAATTCTCGTCTGAGGAGATGCTGCACAAAGAAAAAGAAAGTAAGACAGGCAATGGGCTTATACCATTTGGAAATGATGAGATGAGTGAGAGTTCAAACCTCTTGGCTTCAAATCCCAAACCATCTGCATCTAAGACCCTTTGGAGGAGCGTGAGAGACTCATTCACTAAATCTTCAGATCATCTTCCACAAGTCCACTCAGAAGTCCTGGTACCAGTAGCAGATGTCAATGTGGCTGTTGTATCTTACAAGCGTAGTACATCACGTGATTATTCTAAAATAGATGTTCATGATGACGATGAAGATCATTCTGCCCTGTTCTCAGATATTTCCACATCATGGCCCACAAGTTTCTGAACACAGTTCACAGTTCTCCTACTTAGAACGTTTAAGCAGTCCAAACCAGATATTTTGTCTAAGTTAGAGTTATCACAGGTAAGCACTATTTTAGGTATAGTTTGAATAAAGGTCGAACCTGAAATAACAGTACGATGTTGGTGTCCATGTGTAACAGTCATTGTAACATTTCGGTGATGTTGGTGTCCATGTGTAACATTTCCAGTGATGAACCAAAACATTTACTTGAACTCAAGAGCTGTAGAAAATAGTACACTTGTCAGATGTGGCTGTTGTAAGCATACTTTGATAGGTAGTAAGGTTATGTAAATGGTGTTTACTTTCCATTTGCCTTACTCATTATGATTGTGTCACCACAGCGACCTAACACAGGACACTCGCTAACTTGCTGGTTTTTTATTTCGTTTTATTTAGTCGTAAAAACCTTGTCTGACCATTCCTTTGTCACCTTAACGTTCATTTCCAGTTACCTTTATATTGTTAAATGATTGAAAAGATTGAGATTATGAAGTTTCCTAAGTTAGTATTTCGTCCGTTCTGTGGAAAAAAATTGGTCTTTTTACAATGTACTCGTGCATCATTTGTTCCAGAACTTGCTTCTTGCCCTCGTTTCGGGCTTGATCTGGTTCCAGCTTCCTTACAAAGAGAAGAGCATTGAAGACAGATATTCACTGGTAGGTTATGTTACGCTTGTCACTGTTAGTTTCGAATAAAGACCACTGTTCACGATGAATCACCCTAATCCCTCTGAAATTGACCATTTTGGATAAATTGGTTGAGTATGGCCTGGGTGGTGTGGGAGGGGGAACAGAGATGTTAGACCTTAACCATTCTTTAGGCCTAATTTAGTCCATCTTTCTCAAATCGCGTTGTCGGAGAGTTTTACCTATAGTCCCAGTTCATTCACTGTACCACAAAAGTTAAGAAAGAAAACGAATTTTTCCATACGTATGGCACATTAACATATACTTTTTCTCATTTGGAACCAATTATTAATTTTAGTTTTAAAAAAGATACGGCTTCTTATTTCGGCCAGGTTCACGAGAAGAGGAAGTGGGTTGTTTTGTTTCTTTGGTGGAGAGTAGACGATAAGTCATGTCACACACCTGACGTGAAGTAAAGAAAATTTGTGCAGAGCGCGAGGCCTCAACCTTTGGCGATTTCCTAACTGACTTGATTCAATTTTTTTGTCATCAATTGTTTGGCTGCATTGCGCCCTATTACTTTTTTTTTGCAATGAAAGAAAATTGCCATGTTTGTTTTTACTTTACAGCTGTTTTTCGTAGTGATTTATTGGATGTTTAATCCACTCTTCCAAGCTCTGTTATCATGTGAGTTGAGATTGCATGTTTATTTGATAAACATTAAAATGTTTTTTCCCAAGTTGTTTTTTTTCCAAGTGTTTTTTTGTTCTTTGGTACACTTTTCCGAAGTTACATGCACCAAACTTTGACATTAGACATAAGACATAGGACTGCACACCCAAGAATTGCTACATGTACCAAAAGAGTTCCTCAGTATCTCTGCGCTACTTTGTTAGCTTAAGAGAGGGTCGTGAATGTAAACAAAATCATACAAGGAAGGGTTTAAGGCAGTTAGATTTCTTTGTTCTGTTTTTTCAAGATCTGTAATTTCTAGTACAGTTTGAACAATACAACTATGAATACAGCCAATGGTACACAAATGAAAATTATTGGCATACAGAATGTAAGAGAGTCAAAACAGTGGGCTCGATTGTTTATATCAGGAGATCGAGATTTGCCCAAGCAGCCGTGCAATGAAAATTTGCAATAGGAAAAACGGGGGATTTAAACTTACGGCTTGTAAGCTGTTTCTTGTTTTCTCTGCTCATTTATAGTATGAAGCGACTACAGCTGAATACAAAATCTTGACTCTTGCAAATAACCTTTTTGAATTACATGTACCCTGAGTGACATCTAAGTAGAACATGTAATACATTAGTCCATGTAACGTTATTGTCTTATTTTTACAAATAACACTCAAGAAGTGTTCAACTCTAGATCTAATTATCTTTCTGTTGGTTATGTAGTTCCAAGTGAAAGGACTGTAGTAAATAAAGAACGTGCTGCTGGCTACTACAGACTCTCTGCATACTATTTAGCCAAGTTGTTCAGTGAATTACCGCTGGTCTTATGTCAGCCGACTCTGTTCTATACGGCAGTCTATTGGATGACGGGTTTAAACAGAAGCGAGTCCTTCCTCGGTGGCCTTTTCGTGCTTTTGTTAACAGCCATAACAGGACAGGTATAACCAAGTTTAATATGTACAGATGTTTGGCATATGATTTCAAAGTCTTCTGATAAACATCTTTTGGGAGAAGAAAAATGCTAAACTGGGCGGACAATCTCGTCTTTGGTGGACTGACGCTCTGCACCACCGAGAAAAATGTTTGGTGGGAAAACTTTGAAATTAACTGAAAAGCCATGCAAGACAAGTTTAACCATGAAAGACACTTTGCTTCCTTGTTCATTACCTGTGCTTGGCAGGAAGTTTGCAGTACGGCTCCAAATATGTCCTACCAAGGTTTTCTTGCTCTGTATGCAGACGACCAAAAACGTGGGCTTTTTACTTAATCAATTAACCTCTCGGTTTCTTTTTCTTTTGCGTTTTGTTTTGTTCTGTTTTTTTCAAATATAATGGTAGAAAATTTTTTGCATGACTTGAAGGAAAGAGAGTCGTTTTACGTAGGGAAAAAAAAAAAAAAAACTCTCGGCACACAAACTACGATTCTTCATCTCCTCTAAAGTACACACACACACGCAAAAAACAAATCAAAACAAAAACAGGAATTCCAGAGAAGTGTTTACCGGTTTATTTCTTTATTAGCAGATTGTTTGATAGAGTATAGGGTGTCTTCACGCTTGTAAAAAAGCCTTATCTTTCGTTGTCCAGTCCATAAGTTTGTGTATCGGCGCCACAGTAATGAACTTCAAGAAGTCAATAGTGGTGTGTGCTGTATATGGTCTGACCTGTATGTTGTTGGGCGGATTCTACCAGAAAAACATACCCTCATGGCTATCTTGGTTTCAGTACACTGCTTTCGTGAAGTATTCTTATGAGGCTTCCCTTATCATTGAATTTGCTAATTCTCCATCATTCAGGTGAGCTTAATTCTGAGGTATGCAATATCCGGGACATTCAATTCAACATTAATCTTATGCTGTATGTTCCTTGACATGTTGTTTGGAATTCTCTTTCACTGTTTCCTTTAGATATGAAACTGGTAGCACGTCAGTCCTTACCTTCATGAAAGTTACCAAAGCATTGTAGTAGCAACAGTTCATAACTTCACCAAAAAAAATAAATAAATAAAAAAATAACAGGAAAGCCAAAAGGGATATGCATAGTACGGCAAATAAAGATTATTGTCTTCCTACAGTTTCAGCACAATATTGTTGTTGGTAGAATTCTCTTTACTACAAAAGTTAATGTCAAAACAGAATATAATGTAAAAAAGATCACTCAAAATGCATCACTTTTGTTCCTCCAGTTGCTCGGCGACTGAGTCTTCTTACGGTAAATGCCACAACAATGGAACCGTCATCGAAGGAACGGACATTTTAGAGAGGCTGAATGTGACAAGATCTGTGGGAGAAAACATTGCTGTACTTCTCTGTTTTATTTTTATATTCAGAATTTTGACATATCTTTCTTTACGCTACTTACACAAGCCAAAGTGATTTCGGTATTCAGAGACACTGCACGAGCGATCTGTTATTTCCTTGTGTTACGTTAAGATGTCAACTTGTAGCCATTTGACAACTGACATATGTTTAGCGGTGACCACTTTTCAACCTGTCAGAATGGTATTGGGTTGATCAAGCATCGTGAGAATTAAATAAAGTAGATATAACATGGGAGAAGAAATGTTATTGTTTAGAGCTGAAGGCGTTGAGTTTGATTATGCATCATAAAATAATATAACAAGAAACGAAGTTCATCGTCAAGTGCTGACGCCCCCCTTGCTCCAATCACAGGAGCGGCCATGTACATGTACTGTGATGATTACTGTTACTATTTAAATATTTAACTGCAAGTTATTATTTAGAGAGACGTCATATCTTGTGAGCAAGAGGAATTACGATATTCCTTACTGCCATAGTATGATGTATTATCTTAGGCCAGAGGGGGATATGACGTCAGCAGGTGCGGTAGATATTTCTAAATGTTAAATAGAGGTAGATAACGCGTTGTGTCTTGAATGGTTTTGTTCGTAGATGACTATTGGAGAACGATGAACAGTCTTTTTATGATTATAGCAGCTCTTACACAATTAAAATTCAGTTTTCAATTCTTAGTCGGATGTGTGTGTTTACAGTTAAACCTGGAGGAAGCGGAAAATGAAGAAACCCATACTACAATTCGGTAAAAACAGATTCTGGTAAATCATGCACTGATATCATGCTTCATTTCGTCTGTTAGATCAACGATGTTACATCAATAATTAGGTACCGGTGCTCTTAATCAATTGCGGTCACGTGTCCTGTCACGTGTCCGCTCTCTTATGGTAGATTGCTGGAAAGAATAGGCATGTTTCCCAACCTTGTTGAACATGCTTTATCGACACTCATTTGGCCTTATCTAGGCTGTACATTACTAACAAAGCGTAATGAACACAAATAGAAACCTGAAAAGTTTTCCCCATCTACAAATAAACGTAGTGGATTAGGAGTTAATGGATTAGGGTTAGGGCGTTATCTAACCCTACGCAAAATAAAATACCACCGTAAAAAACAACCTCGAGGAGATCTAGTAGTTCATTTCCCTGTGAAACAATCTGATTATTTGCCTCTAGGCCTGACGATTTACAATCTTTTTAGGGGACCTAGTTAATTTCTACTGTTGTTCGTGTGCCAGAAGAGACCACTGAGCTCCGGGAATCAACCCGAACAGGATAACATGGATTGTAAACAAAGTTTTAAGAAAGAGTTAAGCGAGAACATGGACCAACCAGGTTGCACCTACTGCATGCCGTGAAAGTTTTGCAAATGTTACTACGGTATGCGCTGTTAGCATACAGAAATAGCTTAGACGACGACCGAACCTTGCAGTGAGCGATTGCGTGCTTCAGTCCTCGTAGACATTGGTCCAAAGGGATCGCTCAAAAAATTTATCCTAATCGCAACGGAATTATTCGTCTTGTTGAAGTCAAGACTGCTAGTGGTTGTTTGCGACGTAAAGTTCGCAAGTTACGTCTCTTGAAACGATCTCTGATAGCAAAGAGTGAAATGCAATTCAAAATCTTGTGCGAGAGTTGACTGACACTAAGGAACAGTTTAATCACTTGCATGAGGAAATGCTTGTCCTCTTACTTACGTGCGCTTTTTGGGGTCGGCATGTTACAGCGGTATGCACTTAGCACATTTTAGTCGGTAATTCCCTTTATTTTCTTTGTTTTCGTTTCACGCATAAACTACCGAGCGCTAAGGCCACAAAGGACTCTTACGTACTTAAATACGCTTCACTATGCACATTTTATACCTTGCACGTCTAGTTTTAGTTCAGATTCCGTTCAATTTCAAGTTTTTGCAATCTTCGGAGGTACAAAAATCATCGATAACGTTTGTAAGCTTCGCTAAAAGGGTTTGAACTTACGGGGTTTTTGTGTTCTATTGTACCTGCAACATTTGTTTTGTTATTTTTCTCCAGAACCAACTCCCGGGGAAAGGAAATTTTATTTAAACCTGACCAAGATCGATTATATCGTTGGCGAATTGTTTAAGAATAAAGTGAAATTAGTGTAGTGACTGCAATTCGTTTACATGCTGCTTCATGTAGCTTCCGAAATAGCTACTAGCTTCTGCCTGAAAATTGTCTTTAGACTTGCTCGCCATTCAATCATAAAATTAGTTCTTTGAAGACAGTTTTTAAACCAGCATTTGAAATTTGAAGTTATACCTCAAGCATCGGATATGTTATTGACTAAGTCCGATATTAGACACTTTAAAAGTTAATTTTTATCTTTTAGATGTGCAACCGTTCTTTCATTGAAATAAAAAGTTAAAAGTACCTTTTTCTTTTTCGGATTCTGCCAGGGCTAAATTCCAAAAATTTGTCGTCAAGTTGTCAAAGAGTCAGTTTTCTGTGAGCCAGTTAAACAGTTTTTCTATTTCGTAAATTAAATTACTGATCAAGAAATACGGAAAGAAATTTTTGGAATCTGAAAAAAAGATAAACTCGTCAGTAATTTTGAAGCATTAGTCAAGTCTTTCATGTTTAACATGAAAAATTACAGACCCAGAATTGACCCTTTCTTTTTGACGTAATGTAGCAAAATGTTTAGAGAGAACTGTATAGAAGTCCTAATTCCCGAATGTTCAAATTTTGCGCTGTCTGCATATGAAAACCACTCAGACAACGTAACACGAGGTTGTAAAGAATCCGGCCGGAGAATTTCCCAAAGCAAGGAGCGATTGAAACAGGTCTATATAGTTAAGATGCTACTTTACCGCCAGCTTTGAAAATAGGTCTTATAGAGGCGAATTTTTATTTTCTTGAGCAATGCTATACATAAAAGATAACATTAAAAAAATGTGCTTCAGCAGATCACATCTGATTTTCAAAGATACGGGAAAATCATCTCAGCCAACAGCTTTTCATAGTTGAAACTGGTTTCCCAAAGCAATGATTTGTTCTTCCATCACAATGTTTAGAAAAAGTGATTGAACCAATACGGCATGTACATTTTACATACATTTCGGTTCTCGTTTTCCAATTTTCCAACCTCGTGAATCTTCATAATAAATGATATTTTCATCATTTCAAAGCCACTTGTTCTACAACTGGAGGTTTCCTTTTGTGATTTCCAAGTTTTTAAATACTTGTTTACAGTCTGCAATGCGCATTCTAAGTCATTAGTAACTTGTCTAGTGTTCGCCATTCGTCATCAATTTTTAAATCTCTTTGACTAGCAGATGAACACAGGTAGTCTTTCTCGCCTGCTGGATACATTGCAAATGCGTTGCAATCAAGTTATGTTGAAAAATCAATTGTAAATCTCTTTCCCCCCTTAAGCTTCGAAACACGTTTTACTAGGACGACAAAGCAGTATCGTTACGCGGAGGCGTTAAGTGACAGCCTGCCAAAGGTAAATTGGTAAATTTTCCCTTCACATATTTCGAGCGCGATGAAAAGAACGATGAAAAGAACCCATTTTGGCGAGTTATCCATTTCCGGGTTTACTGAGTACAAAAGAAAAGCCTTATGTAAGTGGTAAACCTAGAAATGGATAACTCGCCAAAATGGGTTGTTTTTAACAGAGTAAGCGGTCAGATAGCGAGCGATGTATTATGGAAGTAAGGTGAGGTATTTTTTATTGAGAGTTTGACTGCATTTTTTATTCCTAAGAGCGGTCTTAAATATGCCCCTTCAAAGTCTTATAATATTTCGCCATGACTCTTATTTCGCATGATGATAATCTCACAGCTGGAGCTTGGGCTACCTGTGGTTAAAATTGACGAAATTAGCTTTGGAGCTGGCCATAGTTCGGAACTGATAAATAATCTGGAGTTGCTTCTGGCTGCCTTGAGCAACTCGTTCCGCGCGCATCCATATCTTGATATACACACGTTATGCTTGATCCAACATCAAGCTGAGCGATGCTCACACATACCTAGAAAGTAAATCTGATTGCTTCTCCAAATGTGAATACGTACAGGGAAATGAAGGAATATCCATCCAGATTAGATCCATGTGGTTGATATAGTCCCCTATGGCGACCTGAACATAGTAAACACACGTCTGGAAAGGATGTCTACCTTCTTCAAGGACATCACAATGTTTGTATCGAAACCAAAAAATACGACCGCGGTGCCTTACTTTCCAAGATGATCGGGGTGAACTCATTTTTTTAAACAAGATTAAGGGGTTTTATTGAGCTGTTTGCAATTTTAACTGTTGCAGTGGTACCGTCATTCACTGCAAAACTCTATTTTATTTTACAGTTTAACTATTACTTCTCGAATTAAATTTTTTCCAAATTTTTAAAACTTCTGACTTCTGTTGTTTTGTTTTCGTTTTAGTCTTTTTTATTCGTACGGAATTGACATAGATACGTTTGCAAATTTCAGCCTGGAGTTTTACGTTCTCAACTTCATAATGTTGTGCTGTTACAGTGTGTTAAAATTCGAGGATGAAAGAAATCATAAGGGAACACGATGATTAAAATGAATTACAATATGCCTTCATCACGAATTCGTTGTTTGAAGCAGGTCCAAATGTGTAATTTAAAGACCGGAGTCACACATTTGACAAAAGGACCCATCTTAGATCAAGATGAAAACCACGTGACAAAAAAATAAAGGCCAATAACACAGTTTGGAGAATATAATTTAAAATTGCAGGAAAACAATAGCCTCGGCTCCCCTCTAAATTCGTTCACAATTATTATCTTAATTCGTTCTATGTACAGCCACAGATTTAAAATGCTATCAAACACCTCCCCCCTCTGCTCTTCTGTCTTTTTCATTATTGGACGAGAGAAGACAGACCATCGAAAAGTTCAAAGGAATGACAACGGTACATGGTACAATGATCAATAAAAAAAAAATGATATTTTCCTTCTCGGAATTGAGTTTAATGTTTTATTCAAGGTTACAATTCACTTTGCCTTCAGCTCTGAATCTTCGATTCGAAGAGGCTGTGGACCTATACCCGTTTTAAGAAGCCGTTGGTGTTGAAAGTGACATTGTATCTGCAAGAATAACAACGCAAAGTCGGATTTAGTTTATTAAAATCAGCTTGAAAGGGAAAGAGGAACTTGAGTAACGCTCTTCTTACTTTAATGGATAAAATCACTTAGCAACCTCTTACCCGTAAAAATCGGTATATTTTTTATCTATCATGTATTTGCCTGGATGGTCTTTCAGAAATCTTTTGAGGTCATTCAGTTTGGAGTCCCCAAACATTGAGTATCCGAGATCCTTGATGAGTCCCTGTCCGGATATTTCAGGTCCCGTTGGGTTTGTATCTTCGATGCAGAGGTAGTCTCCAGGTTGCATAAATTTATGAAAATGTTCTAAAATGCCTATCATGTTCACATGTGAGTCTTCACTTAGGAACCATGGGTGAGGTAAGCTCTAATGAAAGAAACGACAAGAAAAAAAATTAACAAAACAAACTTGATATAATTCTGTGGAAAACAAGGACACGCTGATTATCACTTTAACTTTCGATATTAATGCCAGATTTCCGGGACTATTCTAGATCTTTCCTGTTGAACTTGTCTGAGGATGAGTGCAGCAATGAGACCCATGAATGATGCAAACCCCTGCCTGATAGAAAAATCAAACAGGGGTTTACCTCATCAAATTCTATCCAAGATTCAATAACTCATTGTTGAAGTGACAATAAATATCCTCTCCCTCAGGAAAGGATGAGATCTTGGGTCCTCAAAGAAGTGTTTAAACACTAAATGTAAGGTGTCAGTTAACTTACCTCAAGAAGTTCCTCGTGGAAGTGTTTTTCAACGTCAAAGATATCTCCCTCGATAAACGAAATATCAGAACGGGAATCCCTCGCTAAAGGCGCCAGCATGGAGAGATCAATGTCCAACGAGAGGACACGTGACTCATAGTTGTATTGCCTCAACAAATCTGCCATCCAAAGTGCTGAGGCTCCTGCGTAAGAGCCGAACTCAATTATGGTACGTGGTTTAAGCTCCCAGAGCAACTGTGGTACAACTGCGAGAGTGAAAGGATCTTTCATCAATGGTACGCCGCGATAGGTGGTAATATATTTTCCTGCAAGCAAAGCGAGTCATTTTAAATATAAGCGCCATTTTAAACTGTTCCTTAAGGCACACATGTCCTCAAGGCCTTCTCCACCCACTCATGTCCAATACACCCGGAAATGGGCGCAAGGCGCTTGATCAATGGTAGCGGAAGTAAGAGGTTAACAGCAGCGAGGGGAGTTGAAGATGTTGGCAAACAGACTCGATCGGGCCCGATAAAGACAGTTCGTCCTGGAAAGAGTCGATCGGACTCCCCGGAGGTCAGTTCGGGAGAGACAGAGAAAATATCTCTCAGCCGTGAGGCGAAAAAGCGTGCTACACATGAAACATACCTCGTTCTTAAAGCCATGAGGCAAGACAAGCGCGCTACATATGAAATGAACGTCGTTCTTAAAGCCATGACGCGAAACGAGCGCGCTACACATGTAACATTCGTCGTTCTTTGAGCCATGAGGCGAAACAAGCGTGCTACGCATGTAACATTCGTCGTTCTTTGAGCCATGAGGCGAAACAAGCGTGCTACGCATGTAACATTTGTCGTTCTTCAAGCCATGAGGCGAAACAAGCGCTCTACACATGTAACATTCGTCGTTCTTCAAGCCATGAGGCGAAACAAGCGCGCTATAATGAAATATACGTCGTTCTTAAATCATGAGGCGAAACAAGCGCGCTACTCATGTAACATTCGTCGCACTTAAAGCCGTGAGGTCTCAAACTAACAAAGGCGCGTCTGATGGACTCTTGTCGAGCAAACCGTCTCCATAGGGTCCGATGGAGTCCGTTTGTCGACATTTTCCAGCCCCTCCACATGCTCGACGTTGCCATAATATTTTCTAAGTGTCTCGCAAACTGACACGCGGCGCGTCCGATGGACTCTCGTCAAAACAACCCGTCTCCATTGGATCTGATGAAGTCCGTTTGCCGACATTTTCCACTCCTCTCACTACTCTACTTTGCTGTATATTTTCTAAGTCTCTCGCGAACTAACACGCGTCGAGACTGATGGACCCTTGCCACGGCGACCCGTCTCCATTGGATCCGATGAAGTCCGTTTGCCTACATTTTCCACCCCTCTCACTTCTCTACTTTGCTGCATATTTTCTAAGTCTCTCGCGAACTAACACGCGGTCAGTCCGATATACTCTTGCCAAGGCAACCCGTCTCCATCGGATCCGATGGAGTCCGGCCGTTTACCGACATGTTCCACCCAGTCCGCAACTCTATACTTTGTATATTTCGCGAACTGACTTCCGGTGAGTCTGAATGTTCGTGGCCTTCGTCCATCGGACTCAGATTGGGTGTATTGGACAACCCTCAAGGATAGTCTTTTTAATTGTCTGTTCACAATTCTGTTTGCTGTTCCATGGTTTTTTTTCCCGATGGACGTATAATATGTGCTCAGCCAGCTTTGACTGAAATCAATGACCATGATATCTTCAATCCTTTTATCAGAACATTGGTGGAAAGTTATTCTAATCAGCCTGGTCCCCGAGCAGTCTTCACAGTATCTTTATTCATGTGCTTGTCTGTCTGCCTATCTGTCTGTCATTATTTGTGCACGTGTCCATCAGTAATTTTTTAACTATCTAAACCAGATTACTACGTACCACTAGAAATAGCTGGCATGATTTCAGCTGGAAGCAAGCTGGTATCGCGCCTTTCTTCCATAGGAACAAATCGTTTCTGACTTGACAGTTGGCCTTCTATTTGGGTCTGGAGCATGCTGTAGTTAGTCTTATCTGTCACAGTGCTACCCATTATTTTCCCTCTCTGTGCGATGCTGAAAACAATAATTCATCATAGGTTAAGAAATAAGAAAACCCCAATTGGTTAAAAAAAGGTCTAATACTTTTCTATGAATACTATCCCCTCCCTATTTTGACCCAGGAAATTCCCATCATTACTAACCCGCTATTCATAACATCAACTCCAGAAAACAAGAAAAAGATAGGCACTTGAGAGGCGCATGTGTCTACCTCTGAAGATTAAAATCAAAATAGTAAAACTGTACTACATGGCCTAGGGCTACGTGGATAAGTTGTTGCAGATATTCGAGGTAACGAGGAATGGCATCAAACATTACAGAATCGCGCCCATTGAAAAACGTCGCACGGGAAAATGCAAATAAGCTAGAAAAGAGAAAGAGAGCATGCGTAACTTCACGCAGGCCTGTCAATCCGACTGTCAATCATGTAATCCCCCGTGTACGCAGTGTTCGAAAGTATTGTTTCTTGTGCAGACAACCGAAACGTAGCGCTTTTCATCGAAGAAGAATAGACGTAATTAGTGGCGTTATCTTGATTAGGTTATTTGTTTAAAAATCGGTCAGATGTAAAATTAAATTACCTTTCAAATGCCGGGTTTTCAATTTGTGTTAAGACTCAAATGCGGCAGATTTGCGAGGTTCGACCATCAATTTCGCCAAGAAAGCAAAACATCACAGAAATATTCCTTTTAGTAAAATTTCCGTACTGCCCCATACTATCGTAAAACAAATCTGTTTTCCCAATGGTAAAGTATTGTTTTTGTCACTCTATCCAAGAACTGAACGTATAATGTAGTGTGGGGCAGTGCGGAATTTTACCTTCCTTTTTGGCCCGTTATTGCCGTCAGTTTCAGATAACACGTCGGTAGTCTAATTACTTTTCGAAAAGCTTAAGTATACGTTGTAGATTCCCGCTCCACGTAGGTGCACGCTCACTTCCAACTCAGCTTTACCATAGTAACACTTCGTTTGCACACGTGACCAAAACAAGCCAATGAGCAACCTCGTTCCGGGATCCTTTACAATCGTTGTTTGGTAGCCATAGCGACAGATAAACAAGTAGAAATCTTGGTTCGTTTATTTATCTCGCTCATTAATCGCGTGTACACGACGACGTAAACTATGGCTTATGAAATCGGAAAAAAATACGAAGGTCTTCATGACGGTCGATGGTATATATGCACCATCTTAAGTCAAAAAGGCGACAGGTACAAGGTTACCTTCGATGGTTGGAGCCGACAGTTTGACACAGTTCTCAGCGCCGACTGTCTTCGCCCCTGTACACTGATTGACGTTCGCTCCAGAAAGCGTTGGAGACCCAGCGTGAATTTCAACAAGTTGCTGCCAGGCGACGAAGTTTTCATCAGCATCGAGGGCATCAGAAAACCGGCCGCGGTCAGAGTGGTGGATCCTTTTCTAGAACTCGTTACAGTGGAGTGCAGGAACGAAGAAATCATTGCTTCTTTCCGCGATGTACTACCACCGCCAGAACCCACTCCTGATACTGTCAAGAGGAGAAGACCAGCAGCCTTGCCCCAAGCAGCACCAGCAACATCACCACCACCTCCCGTATCGGCGCCTGTCAGTGTCCAGTCAGCCATAGCCCCGCAGTTCGCGACGATCGTTCGCCTTGATGGTATCAAAATCAGCTGCGGAGATCTCGTGAGCCTCACCCCGAACAGTGCAGACGTCGTCTTCATTGTCCTGGAGCTCTACCAAGACGAGTCCGGCTTAGAGGTTCTTATTAATGCTCAGAAGTGCCAGCTGTCAGATGGTGTCGCCGTTCGCCCGCTAGCAAACTTCAGGTTGACCTGCCCGGCATCCGCGGTACACACACTTCAGGACACTAAACTTTCGTCTCAGTTAAAGAAAGTGGTCTTAGAAGTCCGACAAGGAGCCATCCTGCGGCTGTCCCAGTCCCTGCAGCTACACATGGCCAACCGCGCCTATCAGCTTCAAGTTCGGCGGTACGACTTGGCAGCCAAGCTTCGCTGCGAGATCTACAGAGGAATGTCTTCAAAGGCAGCTCGCACCTTCGTCATCAAAATGGGCCCAGCTGATCTCCGCCACGATCTTGAATTACTTGGGTTAGCGGTTGAAAACAATTTCAAGGTGGAGAAATCGAAGAATCGACTCGACGATCTCGATCCCCTGCTTGGTGAAAAATGGGACGTTAAGCTTAAACAAGACGACCGCTACTTCTACGCAACCTTCGCAGAGTTTGCCCTGGACCTGCCGTCGCGATCCCTCCTCGTGAAGATTAAGTTCGCAGAGTCCACCAGTTCGTTTCGCCAACACAGCTACCGCCAAGACACTGCTGCTGACTGTTGCTGATTGATGAGCAATTGGTAAATTATCTTAGTTTGCCTCACAAACGGCTTTTTTAAAAGCCACCAAATGCAATAAAAGTCATGACCAACCGAACAAAACATTTACCCTCTCCCTAAAATGCCAACATCATCGCCAATCAAAAAAGCAAAACAGAACACGCTTGATAATTTCCATTTCTCCAAAGTCCGTGACTGACTGTACGAAGCATATTAGTTTGTTCGTATTACGAGGAATTGCAATCAATGTCCGCAATGTTGTTTAACTTATTGACACAACCTTTGAACAAAAAAAAAAATGTTTATTATTTTTCTTACATCTCCAACCATCGTTTTGCTTTTTGTGACGATTTAAGCTGTCCTATTTACAGTTCGGTTATCATTAATTCTCATACTAGCGAAAGTTTTATATGCCTTTTCCCTGAGCTGTTCTCTCTGGCGATTCTCTTTTGTTTCCTCGCGAATTTGATGTCTCGCTTCTTTCCTTGACAAATGGAGGTCAATGGCTTTCTGTTTATAGTCTCTCTTCTCCAGGTCAGAAAGTTGTCTCCAGTCCTCTGCCATACTTTGAATCGATTTGAGGAACGTCATCCTTTCTGTTCGTCTAGGACTCTGATTATTTTGCACTCTCTAGAAGCAATTAAAGTAAAAGCATCAGACATTATTTCAGCTTATCAGTCGAAATTTACATAAAAAGTTAATTCAACTAACCTCTTTTAATTTCTCATTGAGAAATGCTGTCCAACCATTTGGTGGCTTTTTGGGGGAAACCATTGCGTCTTTTTTCTTCTTGTGAACTCTAATCTGAGATTTGTTACCACTCTCATCAACTGGGCCCTTTTCCACTTCTCTTATTGTTCTCTTCAGGGCAGCAAAACCAGAAATCTCTTTACTGAAACAGTGCAATCAAATGTCAGATATTTTTTCTCTGTTCTCAAGATATATATGACATTAGACATTAGACTGTGATCATGACCTGTATGCTTGATTATATCTTAGCATTATTCTGATCATTTATCAAATGTTTGTAACCATGTATGATGTTACGACAAGAAATTAGATTCTGATCATGAAATAAAGCATTACCTAAATCGTAACCGTTCTACAGACTGCTGCATTGCACCACATGTGCCTGTCGACAAAGCTGCCAGAGGAGTCAGGTCTACTGCATGCTCTTCGACATTGGGTGGAATCCTTTCTTTTACTGCCCACTCAATGAAACTCGGTCTCACCACTGTCCATCCCCTTTGGTAGGCCATAACCAAATCACTATTTAGCTTTGAGCGATCATTTTTGACCTCATCTTCTGAACACACTAGATAACATCTTTCATGCGGTAGGTTCTCTTTTGGCATTGAAATAACTCTTCCACCATTTTTTTCTACTTTCTCTTTAAATTTCTTCTGTGTTGATCCTAAAACCACACATACAAATACATAATTAACATAAAATCAAATATATAGAACATTTTGCTGTTCTTGTTTATGCAAAAACTTAAAAAAAAAGATATGACATGTGATTAATATTATTATTGTAGGGGGTCTAGAGATATTTGTTAAATTGTTATTTTATGTATATATTTTTTTCTTGTTAATCAGAACTATTTTAATATTTCTGAATGTTTAGACATTTTAGAAATGTTCACCTACCAGGCATCCTTCCAACTAAAACAAAGTCCATCCTCTTAAGTGGCAGCAATTGCCTAACCACACTTGCACCAGACACAGCCAATGGAGGATTTGGTCTGGTATGGACAATCTTCCACCTGTAATTAAAAAAAAATATATATATATATATATATACTGTAATTTTGTAATTGTGGTTTGACTTTGAGTTAGGGAAAATTGGTTTTAACTATGAAAGTAATTAAATATAGAAAATTGGATGGTGTTTTTATCTTATTATAGACACTTACCACTTCTGAATTGTATATGCTGCAACATGTTGTTGTGCATAATGCTCAAAGTCAGTCCTAATCTGTTCAGGGCAGTCATTTATTCTCTCCCTCAAGTTTCGGTATGACCAAGACAACAGCATAAGAATTGTGTCAGGCTTGTGAAGGCCACCATCTCGTGTTGAATGCTGGAAGCAAAGAGAAAGATTTTGTCAAGAATATGATAGTAAGGAACTAGACCCTACACTTGTCAATACTAGTAGTCATTTGTAAGTGTTGGTTTTACATACCTGATAATAAAAACAAATATGCATGTAATGAGTCTGTTCTCCACCCTCAGTTGCTACACGCATGAGTGACTTGAATGGGGTGCTGCAGAGATGTTTTGGGACAACATCCACAAATTTCATCATGTAGGGAGTTACTTCTTTGCAGCCATAACGGAAGATCATCAAAGCATGGAACATATTGGCATGGTAAACATATCTGGAGTTTCAGAGTCGTGTAATCCAAATTCATAGTCTTCAACATTTGTTGAACTACTTGGATGCCCTGGCTTTAGTTGAACTGTATCTTTCCTCAGTATCCTATACATCTGATAGAAATGCCACCAAATAAACTTCACACAGTTAATGTCGTTAATCTTTTGTGATGTCATTCCAAGGGCCTCAGCAAGCTTTGGGGACAACATCTGCTGTAGTTCACAACTTGGAAGAACCTATGAATATAATACAGGAGCTTCATCACTGAGAGATATAATTGGAAAACTATTTTAAGTAATCACTAAGGGTATACATGTACATGTACAGCATGTGTTTTGTAGTAATTATGTTACTTGTTATAACTGCGTAACTTAACTGGTCGGGTTTGAGGATTTAAGTAAACACCAGAACTTACATTATCCAAGATGTGATTGTAATGTTTGTCTTTGAAGTCCTCTGAGGGAGCTAGGATGGTGTAGGCTTGGGACTTATTGAGGCTGAGGTCACCTAGGTGACCTTTTGGATCAATTGGAAGTTCAAAATGACCTCCTCTGACATCTCTTGCATTTATGTTAGCAGTAAGATGTGCCAATGCAGCATTCCTTCGCTCTCTACCATACCTATAGAAAAAGGTGACAATAATAATTTTCAATATTTAAAAGCAGGGACATGTGAGACAACACAGCGTATACAAATGAACATGATCTACAGTCGATCGAAAATTTTTTAAGGTTTTAATCATGAACGCAGACTGCCCAAACAGCACATGTTAACTAATACACCAACCTTGACTCCAGATCAAGACATGTCCGGACAACCTTCATTATTAGATTTTCTGCAACTCTGGTGAAGCCATGGTCAATACACATAAGGATATGATCACCAGTAAGAGCAGGAAGCAGCGACTTGGGAAGAGGACGGTCAAATGAAAGGTTGAGGTCTGTTCTTAGTCCTGTGGATGGATCTACTTTTCCCTTTTCTGATGCTGAGCATTGCATCCATAGGTTCCACTTGTCTTGGGAGAGTGGGCTGAGCTCTGGATCAGCAACAGCATCCAAGAACTTAGAGTCTGCACCAAGGAACACCTGGTGGCCCAGGTTCTGACTGTCTTTAATCCATTCATTTAAGTATCCTACAATATTAATGGACAAATGATCTATAATAACACTAATTATCCTTATTATCCTGCAATTCCTCTTGTACCATTTCAGAGAGTTCAAGCACCACAAAAAGTTACAAGACTGAAATCAATTTTGTTGAACCATGTTATTTTTCTTGAATTGTTCAAATGATCAGCTTATGAGTATTTCATTTCAATTTTAGGAAAATTTAACAGTGATTTGGTCAATTTATCAAAAGTTAATATTGGATTATAAATGTTTAACATGTAAGTGTGCATATACCTGGTCCACCATGACCATCTCCAATGTTAAGCTCAAGGTTTCGACGGCTGTCCTTGTGATGAAAAATATGAATAGGCCACATTTCTTTCGGGCTTTGGAATTTTATTCCATTTAACTTCTGCTCATTGTTTACATTGCTAATAGCCATCAAAACAGTGTCCTTCTTGCCATACTTTCTGCCATCACCATAAAGGTGCCACCACTGTTCTTTAGGAAGCCAATAGTAAAGGTAATGCAGACATTCGACCAAACGGGCTGGCTCAATGCGATAACCAGTTGCTGTTCTTTGTGGTTGCATTATAGCCTCAAATTCTAATTTGTATTTGGTCTTTAGCTCAGCAACCTAAGGTAAAAAAGGTTTGCAAATGTTATAAACAGATTTTATTTTATTATTAACTTGAAGTATATCAGGAAAGATACATATAAATGCAAGAAAATTACCTTTCTTTTGGTTGCAAGATATCCAGGTGGCAATATCTTCCTGATCTCATCAATTGTCTGTCCAGAATTGCATTGATCTTGAAGTTTCAAGATTGCTGATGGTGGGATTTGCACTGTTGCCTGCTCTTCTCCAATCTGATTGTAAAGACTGTCCCCAGTCTTTGTACGAATTAGCTTAGTCAACAAGATAATATCTTGTTTTTCCAGTTGTCCTTGCCAGGCTGAGTCAATACTGCACTGCTGTCTAAATCTCCGGCCCACTGATAATGAAATGCCATGCAGGAGGTCGAGTCGACTTTCTCCATTTAGTTTCGTTTTCTTTTTTCGTAAGTTTCTTCTCCAATTACGAAACAGTGAAATCAAGCAAAGTTTGCACTTTTGTTTGTAATGCCTTGGAGTGAAAGTTTTCCCAATGACTATGCTACTTTTAAATTATTCCATTGATTAGTCATGTGCACAGAGAATGTCCCCTCCCCAGTTTCATGTTTATGAAGGGTATCTTAAGCTCAGTTCAACGTATCATATATTCCTTCCATAGTTGTTAGTCACTAGTAATTCATTCATGTATAGGGACAGTTGATCATTAAGCCCTTGAATGCAAGAACACATCTCTACATTGTATCGTAAATGATCTCGCGACAAACAATCAAACTGGTTTTATGTACACTATTTTATTCTCCTACCCACTAGTAACTCCGATCTCACAATCAATCAACCCAAATTACTTATCATATTTCTGTACTTTTGTCACAAGACTATCAACAAATTCAATGTAACGCTTCAGTCACGACAATTGAAGCTTTTCTTTATAGATAGGAATCCACTTAAGACAATTAAAGAGATCAACTGAATTTGCAGTTCTTTGGGCATATAAAATTGTTCTGGCAGCTCGCTTTTGATGTTTAAGGACTTGATCTAAGTTACTCCTTGAAGTGCAGAACAAAAGCACAGCCTAGTTGGTTTGATTATGGACTAATTTTTAATAAGTGATTCGTTGTTACGTAGTCATGAAAGGACGAATTCGTCGTAAAAGTTTGATCCTAGAGTCACGCCGATTCGATAGATTCAAATTTTGGGGGCTAGAATCTGAATTGCATCTGTGCTATTGTTAACCATTTATTACATGTAGCTGCTCTTCTTGTTCGATTGTTTACGATGTGTCTGGCGTGGTTAAGTCATGGGAAAAGATTGTGGCCTTTGGGGAGCTATTTGTGCCAAAAATATCAATCGCTAGTGATAAAACTTCCTCAATGGGAATTGAGTAGTAGGCATCTTTTAAATCGATTGATGCCATGAAACAATTTGGAGTCATGAGTCCCACAGCAGACCAAAGAGTATCTATTTTGAAATGGTGTTTCTCTATGTGCTTGTTAAGCCCCTTTAAACTCAACATCATGGGTGTTGACCGCTTTTCTTTTTCCTGACAAATATAGTGGAAATGTATTCATCTGGAGTGTGTACAGCAGGCTCAATGACACCTTATTCAAGTAGGTGAGCAGTTTCTGAAGCAATTATTTCTTAGTGCGCTGAGATCGGTGCGTTATACATCTTTCTCGGACAAAACAAAGAACCACTTCCGTTTCATGTTTAATCAAACTGGATGCCACCGTTCAGCCTTCTGTTGCCCCTGAGAATTACTTAGAAAATGTCTAAGCACAGCTTGCAGTGATCACTGCAACTAAGCCAAAAAGTAATTTGTTACGCAATGAGGTCACAGCTCTAAAAGAGTTGAATAAGAGGTACAACAACAGTCATCGTGAATGAGACAGAAAAGATAGCAGAGGCCAAAGTGCAACTCGACAACAGAGTTCACTACAAACCTCTCAGGGCACCGATAGTAAATAACACGCAGGCAAGGGTTAATAGGATCATTGACCAAATGTATCGGGTCAAACACATTGATGACATAACTAAGAAATGGCTATCACAAACTTCCAATCCGCCTAGAATACTAATATTATATACGCTCACGAAAATACACAAAATACACAAACCTTTACCGATCGGTAAGACGCGCTTGTAAGAGCTAAAATATAATTTGAAGGCGATAATGCGACGCGACAACAAAAGCCACATGGGGAATCCGTGCCGGTTGTCCCTTACTAGATTCCAAGAAAGTAAGCAAGATTTGATTTGTTCATCTTTGCCCATAGTGGCCAAGGCAATTAGCAGCTTAGCGCGAAAGCGCTAGCTGCAAATAACGTCGCCAAAGGGGAGGCGGCTGGTTCAAATATTCCTTACAACTTACCGTTTGGATATCTTCTTCGAAATGCCCGAAATCTAAGCAGCGGGATCATAAATCCGTATTAAGTAATAGGCTTCCAACAAGCAGAGCTGTCAGAATAGGCCAGTTAACAGTTGTGTACTTAGTTGCCAAGCCTTTGATTTGGAGTTAGGCTGAAGGTGAATATGGTTATATGATTATACAGTCACAACTTACAACACACTTTAATCAATACTCACCTCACTTAAATATATTTCACCACATTAATAGTCATAATTCACACACAGTCATGCAGTCGTGCTGATCTATTCCCATGATGAACTCATTCTTAAAGATACAATACTACAATACAACACAATACAATAAGAGTTTATTGTGAAAATACACTTAGCTACAATAATGGTGTGCTTTCACAGACTGAACCGAAATCGGGGTCTGTGAAAGCACGCCAGCTAATTTACAGGCATTCCACAAACACAATAAAGTTAAAAAGAAAAAAAGAAAAAGAAAAAACTAGATATGGAGTATTCTATAATTTAAAATTATAACAATAAAATCTTAATAAGTATATCTTATATCTAAATAAATATTAAATTCAATAAAAAAGCGTCGAGATTATAAAAATTGCACTAGGTCAACTTGGCTAATGGATCTCTTAAAAGACTTAAAATTCGTTATATTTCTAAACATGTTTGGAATAGAATTCCAGAGTTTCGGACCAATATAACGGACTGAGTTCAAGCCATATGTAGTAGACTTTGGCTTGGGTAGCGAGAGGATATACACTCGATTGCAAAAACGTTGACACCTAATAAGCTTGATTCACGAACGACAAGACCCATCACCTTTATGGGAAATGTTCGCACAGATACACAATCAGTGATTTACTTCTCTCATTATTCATGGAAAATCTTTTCTCATGATAAAACGTTTTCTTCCGGGAAAGTTTGGATAGCTGTTTGCTGAGTCTCATCGTTCATTATAAACGCTTGTTGCGTGTCAACGTTTTTGCAATCGAGTGTAGTCACCTCTTAAATTGTAGCTAACGTTCTTCCTATGAACTATCAGGTCTTGTATACTTTTTGGGCGCTAAAGAATTGTGGACGGCATTAAAAATAGACAGTGTGATTTTAATTAATCTTTGTTGTTTTAAAGATGAGAGGCCTAATGCGCTGAGAAGTTCCGAGTAGCTTGTGTACTTATCCCTGAAAACAAACCTGATCGCGCGCTCATTTAACCCGGCTTTCCAATTTGTCTGCAGCACTTTTACTACAAACATTCCAGGTTTCACTGCAATAATTGAAGTGAGGAAGGATAAATGCTAAATATAGGTCGCGCCTTGTTTCGAAGGGAAGCATTTTCTTCATTCTTTTAAGAACAGCCATTTGCTGTGAAACTTTCCTACATATTTTAGTAACATGATTGTCAAACTTCAGTTTGTTATCTATCGTTGTGCCAAGCATGTCAAATTCTTTAGTCACAGCTTAGTGGTGATTACGGAATAAATCTACGTTGGAGCCAATTTTGTTGTGGCTAGTCATTGTCTCAAGGATAGTCAACAGCCGTAATAGATCCCGACCTTCCCGCAGCCAGCGAGTGCCCCCTGGAAAGCCTTTTCCAGAAGAAGTTTATTGAGTTGTTCTCCGTCCGTCCGTTATTTGTGAAGGCAAAAAACCTGTTTTCACATTAACATGTAGTGGGTTTATTCTAATTACGTCATTACATTGTCTAATTGAAAGGCACATCGTACTTCAAATATATAATAAACATCTACTTACAATTCATAGGCAAACAACATGAACACTCACGTGTGAAAGTCCCCTTCCATAAAGGCTGTTGGTAAGGTCTCGTTGAAATTTAAATCATCCATGGTTCACCACAAACCAGGTAGTGTGACGTTGGGGTTGCTGAAACTGATGATGATGATAGCAGTTCTGGCACCCTGAAAGAGCAAATGATTCCGGCTTGGTACTTCGAGAGCCAATCCACTAAACACCTCAACAGACAGAGGCTTGTTTTGGGATCAGACAGTTTATTAAATGTATATATCCTACGTAAATAACACATTAGAAATGACGCCTAGGTAAGTCCTCGCCCTAAAAACTCAACTCAGCACTTGTGAAAGGTATGTTATAGAGCCTGAAGCTTAAGCACTTGTCCAAGTACCTAACCAGTCAAGAAAGAACCCTACAAAGGGGAAAGTCAGAGGAGTCAGCCGGTCTTCGACGACTTCTGGTTAGTTATTTAATTAACTGAACACTCATGGGAGTTTTCTAATAACGGACCTTTGCTTTCTATCTCATGAATGTTGTTCATGGTAACCGTATTCAAGATGAGCCTCATTGCACACAAATTGTAGGCTTTCACGATTCCTACGTTGGACTCGAGCGTAATTGCGTGTTTTTATAGTTACGTTTCCTGTTCAATTTTTTAAGCTTGTTTGTTCCCAGAGCAGGGGAGAGATGGTGATAAGGAAGAGTACAACTTTGGACTTTTGAGCAGGAGGTCTAGCGATCAAACATGGAATTTCCGTTGGTGTGAAATAAACAACACTACACCTCGACACAAAAGAATGTATGGAAAAACTGATTCATTATCATTTACTGGTTGTACTTGAAGGAAGAAATATCCCCAAAACTTCACTTGTCTCTCAGAGTGATCAGTTTTTCACCAACAATCACAATCCTTACGATTCAGTTAAAAATTACAAAAGACGGGCAGAAATAGAAAACGTGGTAAAAATTCGTTCAGTTCTTACAAATTTAGGAAGCTTTGCACAGCAGAACAAGAGCTTCAACGGGCAAGAATGAAACACAGGTCATTTGAAAAAGATCAAGAGCAGATGGTACAATGGGCGATCCTCAACTGTTTATCACGTCGTATTTAACCAAAGCGAGCCAAATGTTACGTTTTTGTTTCTGATGTTGACAACATTACTTTTCTTTCCTGATTATGTGAAAATTTTAGAATATAAGAATACTAAAGAGAGTAAAAAAGGGCCTGGGACTGAAAGGTTATTATGCGAGCGTGGGCTCAAAAGATGTAATGTCTTGGCACAAAATTGAAACCCAGTTAGGAAAGTACCTATTTTTCCACCGAAGCTTGTTAACACAGAGTAACCGAAATGAAAGTAATAAGTTTAAACAAACGAAAATTTACGGAACTCAGAAATCTGTGTTTATACAGCTTTATTAACACAAATAATTGATCGCTTGTAATGAACAGTGCACGATAGTAGTCATTGTTCTGATGTGGACTAAATCCTTTCTTTACGATCTACTCTTTGTGTTTCAGGCTTTCAACAGGGTTCGTTGAAGTGGATAAAAGACTTATCTTAAAGCGATTGTCTTTAAGCAGGCAGAACTTTGCTAATTTATGTGGATGAAGGAACAAAAGTGAATATTACTTATTGTTAATGCAGGTTTCATTATAATTTTGATCATGAGGAAACAACGAAACACGATTTCGGTAAACAACCGTACGCGTCAAAAATAATCGTAGAAGGCATAAGATGATATGATCGATAGAGCCCGGGTCACTAAGTTAAAACAAGAAGATAACGCTGATGAAAACTGAGCTCTTTGCACAACAGATTTGAACTGTGTGGGAAGGATATCTGAACGTGCGGTTTTCTTGGAGCAGGACCAGATTTTATTCCACTATTGCACTCAGAAGGGCCAAATCATCTCCCTTTCACTGCAAACGAGACTTTTTTAATAACTCGTCGAAAAGCTGACGAAAAAACCGAAGTTGCAAGGCACTGATTTGAATTTTGAAGTTTCCGTCGACAAAGGACGTTTTTCTTTGCTCAGTTTAAGGATAACTTAGCGAATGGAAAATTTTACGAGAAATCAATCATTTTACACTACGTCCACGACTTCCGTTGTTTGGTTTTCCGAGGAAGATAACAAATCCATTCCCATGGCTTGCTTGTATGCGGTAATTTCTTTCATTGCGGTATTCGGAAATCTTCTGGTTATTACAGCTGTTTGTCGGGATCACACGTTACGCTCGTACACCAGTAATTACTTCTTAGCAAACCTGGCGGTGGCGGACTTTTTCCAGGGATTGATTGCGATTCCCTTGCGAATACTGGAAGTGATGGCGGTAGGCTACAACCCGAACGTATTTTGTAGAATTGCAATTGCCACAGCAATATTGTTTGGCAGCAGCTCAAACTTGGCTATCCTGGTTATAAGCATTGACAGATTTTTTGCTGTGCAATATCCATATACATATGTTAGATACTCAAACATAAAATGCACATACATAGCGATCGCTTGTTCGTGGTCGGTGGCTGGGTTGTTGAGCATCATGGCTGCTACACCCCTGGTGTGGCTTATACCAGTTGTTTCATCAAGAGTCTGCCGCTTTCCCATTTACTTAAATCAAGATTACATATTAGGAATGTACGTTATTGTTCACGCTATTCCAATTGGTACAGTTGTACTTTTATACGGGTTTATTCTCAAAGCCAGCTTGCGGCACGTGCGCAGAATTCACGTGCAAGAACTTGCTGTTCTCGAAAGTAATGCACAGTACACGAACGGTCATCGTAGCAACATTAAAGAAATGTCTTCCGGTACAATCAGAAGAAAAAAGAGACATTGTGAAACCATCAAACAGAGAAAAGCAGCCAAGACTGTCTCTATAATAGTTGGCCTTTTTATTCTTCTTGTAGTTCCGATCATTGCTATCGACTTGGCTGAGATGTTGGGTGCACCATCAGCACCTGAAATGTTGACAAGATTCTGTGTTTTTATGATATATGCTAATAACTGTGTCAACGTTCTAGTATATGCCGGATTTAATCAGGACTTTAGGCGAGCTTTTAAGAAGATACTTGTTCAGTGTTTTCGATGCATTTTTGGAGAAAGACCATGCAGACCGATTGTTTCGGTCATGATGTGAACATTTCCAAATAGCAAATGTTAGCAATAGTGAACTTCAAGTTTCAGAGTGTGAAGGATTTTTGCGTCAGAGTAGATAGCTAAAATCGTTTCCAAATGTTTCTTGTGGATATAGCCCAGTGATTGCACACGTTAAGTTAAGGGCATTGGCCAAACACAAATGACATGTTTACTTTTTAAAACAGCAGCAGGTGTTCATGACTTCAGGGAGACTACACATTGAAAAATCGAGTCTTTAGTTATAAACGCACTGTTGTCTATTTGAACTTATCCAAGAAGAAAAAAACATATTCAATAAAATCAACATGGCGTTAAACGACATGCAGTTTTCAGAGATATAAGCTCGCAGTATGTGCACATATACGAAACGACATGGGGTATCAAGTTCACTAACGCCATGATAAAGAAATCAGCGGAAAAAAATAAAATTTAAAATACAAACTATCTTTTTTAAATCTTCTCGCAGGAATCACGTATCAAATAATGGTACCAATTAATTTATTAAGATAAAAAAAAAACTTGAGCCATTATGAACACTAATAAATTCAACAAAAACAGAGATGAACACGAAGGAAAGACAGAAAACTAACGCAGACCCGCGACTTTGGTTACTACGCTAATTTGACAAAAATGATAATAAATTTTGAAAAAAAAGTTCCGAAGCCTTCCTCCAAAATATCCTTCACTGCGGGAAGAGATTGTCGTTAAATGATGGTTTTAAACTTTTTTTTTTTATTTTGATGCCACGTACCTAACGTGTGAATGATCTCCATCGAATGTTTTGGAAAAGCGTAAAAGTTCAAAACTAAACTGCGTCAAATTAAATTCTGCGGCCGAATACGAATGGCGATTTTTCTTTAAAATCATGAATCAACAATGGAGAATGGATGCATTGCTCAATTTTGTCATGATCACTAACTCGCATGACCAATGTTTGTGGAAGTCATGCTAAAACGTTGTGCTAATCAATTTTTTAAAGTTAAAAGTTTGCTTCTTATCCCTTTGTTCGCGTTCACGCGAGTGCTGTTGTTACAGTACTCCATTTTCTTAACGTCTTCCGGTTATTACAGCTCTGCATTACGATTTTAACCTTTCAACGCGAGGCAACTTTGAATGAGAAGTATGTCAGGACACTGATGGGTGTCAAACATAAGATTTCTTGATGATTCAAATCAAGGAAACGCTTCGTAATAAAATATTGAACAACAGGTTACAGATGAAGGCAAAAACATCGCACGAATATTTTAATTAAGAGTGCATTGGTCTAGCCAAGTAACCGCAATCACTGATTTAAAGTCATTCGGTGTTAATCAGAGAGACCTGAATTTTATTTTAGAGTAAGTAATGATTCTTCTCTTCCCCAAAGTAAAATAGTTCCAGGCTTATCAAAAATAATCATTGCTCAATGTTTCTACCGATTTTTTATTTCCCACTATGATATTTATTGAAGTTATTCAAAGGAAAATATTGCTCCAGCCTCATGACTAAAACTTCTCCCTTTGGTCAAACTATGATGCTTTTTCATTACAGGGTAAGGAAAATCAGCGGGTATTAGGTACTTTTTGGCTATAATGTGCGATAAAACAAGAGTCCTTTACGGAGCTCGACATCAATGGAGCAACGTAGCACTTAACATACAACAAAAATCAAACAAAGTTAAAAAGAAAAAACAAAACAAAACAAACAAAGAGCGATCGATTGGTGTCAACGAGTGACAGCTGGTTGTAAGAGGTGATAATTCAACAACAAGCGGCATTGTAAGTGGTCCTTTGAAGGAATAAGACGTCAAGAGACCCAAATCACACAAAGCTACCAGGTAATGAAATTTTCTTACAATGATAATCCAAACGAAGGCTGAAGTACACGTCCCTGTACACGTTTTTGATGAGTACTTTTCAAGGAAATGATTTATTGCGCTGCATTCATGGCACCTTCCAAATGAATCCGATAACAGGAAAGACATATTAAAAAGAGTGATTGCCTTTTACAATTAGACCAACATTATGATCGGCAACTCCTCATCTTTTCGTTTCCGCCTTTAAGTTCATTTTAAATTTTTCTCATCTCGTAAAAGGAATAGAATTTAATCAAGAGCGCGTGTTTACTTTAGAACGTTAACAGTCCTTCCTTGATCATTGTGTTTAGCGCACACTGATCTTGTCCAATGGAGGAAAACTTAAGGGCCAGATTTGCGAGGAAGTAATTTCCTGTCATTAAAAAGATTAGCATAAGGAGGTAGTGCAGAGTGAGGCAAGTTCAACTGAATATTTATGTTTTCGTTGGCCGGTACTAAAGCATATGCACGTCAAAAGAAACACGTGCTAAAAAGAGCCGCATTTAAACCCTGATTTTCACTAACACTCACCATGAAACAGGCAAACGGTACAAGGAATCTTCCTTCTTGGGAAAAGCTACCGGACCTCCTGTCTTCCAACGAACCTTTGCTTAACACTGATACAGAAAATAGCTCAAATGCGGGTACTATGGCTGTTGTGATCTTTCTGGTATTAATTGCGCTTGTATCAGTATTGGGCAACGCTCTTGTGCTCACCGCAATCTACACGAACTATAGTCTACGAAATGTGGGTAACGCTCTTTTCGGAAACCTTGCTGTGTCGGACTTTCTTCAAGGAGGAATCGCAATACCTTGTCGTATTGTTGTTCTTTTGCAACCGAATTCCTATTTCAGCATGTCAATGTGCCGGGCCTCGATAGCTCTATCCATCCTCTTCGGGGGCAGCTCAAATCTTAACATTCTATTCATCAGCATTGAGAGATTTATCGGTGTTCGATGGCCTTTTCTTTATTACTCTTTTGTTTCAGCAAAAGTAATTTCCTCAGTCATCTTTTCGGCGTGGATTTTGTTAGCCCTTTTTGCGAGTCTACCTTTGTTTGCTTGGGGTGGGCAAACACATCTCCAAGCGGAGTTCTGTTCTTTTACTTTGTTTCTTACTAAGGATTACATTGCCGCAGTCTACCTGCTCATTAACATCTTGCCATCAGTTGTCATAGTATTTTTGTACATTTTCATTCTTAAGGCCAGTTTGCGAAGTATTCAGAAAATTCATATTCAGGAGCGTAGCGTCCGATCCTCAGTACGTACATGTAACCAAGAGGATAATGGTGACATTTGGGAAACTGACGGCACCGCTCCTCAGGTGCGAAAAAACAAAACCACCGAGGCAGCAAGGCAAAGAAAGTCCGCCAAAACTGTATCGCTCATTGTCGGTCTGTTTATTGTGCTGATAATGCCTATTGTCATACTTGATATTGTGGACATGTGCGGAGGTCTTAAAGTATCTCCCCTAGTTGTCAGAATAACTGTTGGGATGGCCTATGCCAACCATTGTGTGAATGTTTTCGTGTACGCAGGCTGTAATGGAGACTACAAGCGGGCATTTGCAAAGATTTTATCAAGAATCAAAGCAAAATTTACAGGAGTACGCCATTAGGCTATACGGGAACTTGAGAAGACAAATACAACTGGAGAAGGAACATTACACAGCGTTGTTTCTGGCAAAATTGCCGGCTAGAATTGTGTTTGAGAAGGTCACCTTTTAAAGAAAAGAAAGACCCGCGTACGACACACCGATAGGAAGAAGGAATATGACGTGGGAGTCTAACTGTTTAATACTTATTTCAAATCAATATCCGAGTCTTACGAATGATACGTAAAGCATTGTCAATTATTTGACGTTATATTAACGTTAGAGATTTGATTGATCTTTTAATTTTTTAGTTGGTTTGTAAGCGTCTCTGAGCCACACATAGCGAATTTAGCCTTCTTGTGAATAGACTTTGCCAGGATTGGGCGTGGTCTTGACCTTTTTTCTTCCCTTTCATTTGAAAATAATAGTAGCGTTTTGCAAATGCGGGATCGACAGATGAGTGCCTTTTTTAATTTTGTTGAGATAAATTTTTTCCGTTGGGCAAACGCACAAGAGGAGATACGGTCGACTACCAATATCTCGAAATTGAAAAAACATTGATAGATCGGAAGTTGAGAAAATGACCGGTAATGAGGAAAACCGTGGACTTCCGTTTTCACTTTTAAAATTTCGGACAGTAAACATATTGATGGCATTCAGTTTAAGTATGGAGACCGGTGAAGTAATATGAAACATTTCAAAGAAGGATTCATCAGCAAAGCTTTAGAAGAAACAATGCAGTTTAACGTACTTTGAACCATAAACAATTGAACTGGACCACTTCACATAATGACAAATTCAAATTTTAAAAAAAATAAAGCACTTTCTCTCTTACTTGTAAACCTAAATAATCTATTGCCTGCATTTTCAATGATTTTATGTCATTTGCTTCGTGAAGGCAAGAGAAACGAGGGAAGGCTAGGTTATTATTAAATTATGGACCTCGCGAAATGGAACCTGAAATGGGAGAATATTGCAGAAGGTACCTGGAAAAAGCGAGCAAAAGACAGAACAACCTGGAGGAACCTGATCAGAGCATGAAGTCTTCATGAAACAGTCATTGTTGGGTCAATAGACTGCATAGTAGTAGTAGTGTAGTAGTGGTACATGCCTGAAACTTTAGAGGAGAAATCATACTTAAAAATCAGTTGTCAAAAAGAAAAACAAACTTCTAAAAAATAATGCAAAGTAATTTGCAAAATGTATATATTTGGCAAAAATTGAATCGAGAGAAAATAGAGCAATATTTATTTCACCATAGCCAAACTAATTCAACAATTAGTTGGCCAGTGGGAGAGCTTAAATTCATTGGTTGGGAATCTGATAACCATTTTCCATATGAGAAATATACATTATGAACACTGCTTTAAAAATGGGAAAAATAACAAATAAGGAAAATTTCCATACCTAAAAGAAAACAATTTAATCGAACCTGTTAGGATACGGTGATTATCAAAGGTAACTCAAAGTGTACAACTAGCAATGTTATCTATTGCATAACTTGCATATATTGCAAAAAGATATACATTGGTGAACAGGAAGACGGCTAAGAGGCCGATTCCAAGGACAACTTCGCGACGTAGAGAAAATGATCCGTACTGCAACAGCAAACAAAACCGGCCACGCAATTGACTAGCACCCCGAAATTCACAGCTTAACACAAAGCTTTAGCTGCACGAACCGGCGGGCGACGAGGACGAGGCGTTTTTGGCAGATGGCATTAATAACGGATTTCAACTGGTGGACCTTAATACGTAATTCACCGAGGTAAATATGCGCAACTATAAATCGGCTACTAATCCCACCACTTAACTGTTGGTGGAAAAAACTATTTGTGACGAAACTCAGCTTGGCAACTACGTTATTACGGCCACGAAACCTACGGTAGTAAGCACTTCAGAAGCGATTCCTAAATCAGCACGCAGTATTTTAAATTTCAGTCATTAGATGACGCTATCAAACTCCTAAAACCTTATTATTTCATGGCTAAAATAGATCTCAAACATGCTTACCGCTCGGTACCTATCCCCCCCACAAATTATCAGGCTTCAGGCTACATGTGGCGGTTTTTCGGGGGACGATTTTGACAGTTATTTTTGTGACACTCGCCTTCCATTCGGTGCTAAAAGCTCTCCTGAAATCTTTCATTTTCTAACACATGCTGTTCGGCGCATAATGGGGAAGAGAAGTTTTGTGAATATTATCGTTTATCTCGACGATTTCCTTGTCAATGGCTCAAGCGGAAAGCCCTCATGCCTATGAAGTCTTGCCACAATTGCTGCAATATTTAGGCTTTACTATAAGTCAACGTAAACTCATGCCACCCACCCACACATTATCCTTTCTGGGTGTAGAACTGGATACAGTCTCGTGTGGCATCTCGCTCCCACAGGAGAAATCTCACGAATCAGCAGCAGTTCTTCTCACAGTGGGTGGTTATTTCAGGGTCGATTGGTTTTATTTCAACTTCTCACTTTATCACCCAGCGTGTTCTTGTCTACATATTAACCACAAAGAAACTTTAGCTATAATTCTTGCTGCTACGCGATGGGGCCACCTCTGGGCAAACCATCGGGTTATTATTTATAGTGATAAGACAAGGGTGCAGATCATCAATAAGGGCACTACGAACAACAAAATTATTATGCAGGAGCTCCGTGCGCTTTTCTGACTTTGAGTGCTCCTCAGTTTTTATATAACTGCAACTTATCTCGAGGGTTTTTGTAACACTATTGCCGATGCAGTTTCGCGCCTTCATGAGCGCCCTCATCTGTTATCCTTTTACTCCGTCCCAAAGGGTTGCGCTGCGGCGGCCAATTTGGCACTAACTGATCACACGTCGTCTCACGATCGCTCCTTTGAGTTTTTTAGGTGCACAAGACCCTCGGTTGGCATCTCAATTATAACAGGAAATTACTAAGTATCGTTCTCAGCTCGAAGAAGAATTCACTATAGCAACTTACAAAACTCATCGTGACACCTACTTGAAGTTCTGCTTCTACATGGGTTACACTTCGGTCCCAGTTCAACCTGATCACCTGCTGCAATACGCCGCTTTCTTAGCCCGTAGTCTTAAAGCTGGCTCCGTACGAAGCTACCTGAACATCATTGATGTACTTCACAAGGAGTTTGGCCTGCCTAATCCGCTGCTCGATAAGTGGCCCTTAAGTCATTGCTCACAGGTATCAATCGATCCAAAGGGCTACATTTTCTGGGTTTGGACCTTTGGTTTGGTGTATTCGTCAAATATCTTTATCTAAAGCTCATCCTACCCACTGCTAAGCTCACACTTTGAGTTTAAGCGTGAAAGATATAACCTGTAACTGTAAACTGTTGTCACAAACAGTGGATATTGTCAAGGATATCGTTACCTTGATCAAATTTTCACCACGGTGGGAATCCTTACTTCAACAGCTCAAGGAAAATCTGGGGACGGAAGACGGGGATACTAGCTCCCGTGGAATTATTAGACTTTGCCCTACAAGGTGGACGGTTAGAGCCAGTTTTTTTGGACAAATTGTTGAGAACTATGCGGTTCATATGGCAGAGTGGAATAATTGTTTATCCTAACGATTACAGCCCGATGTGCGTGCAACGATAATAGGATGTGAGGCCCAAATGGACCGATTTGAATTTTTCTTTAGTTTTCATCTTGGAGAGCGGCTTTATTCCTACACCGATAATCTATCTAAAACTCTTCAAAGTAGTAAGATGGCTGCTGTCAGTGGACAACGCCTGGCAAATCTAACAAAGGAGACGCTCACAATGCGCATTGATTAGAGCTTCAACCGTTTCTATGCTAATGTTGCCCGCAAGAGTGCAAGCCTGGTTGGCGAACCCACACTTCCAAGAAAGCGACGCACTCCGGCCGGACTAGAGGTTGGTGCTGGTACACCAAGCTATTCCCAAACTGCCAAAGATCATTTTAGAAGGTCCATTATGAGGCTACTGGTCTTATTGTCAATGCTATCGATCAGCGCTTTAACCAGGAAAGCTTCAGCTGCTAAGCCCAGATAGAGACCCTCTTGGTTAGAGCTGCTAATGATGACGACTATGAGGTAGAGTTCAAGTTTCTTGAAGCATCATACAGCAGAGATGGTGATACTGAGGCACTGCCTGGGCAACTAAGTTTTTTGGAAGTTATGTTAAAGGAGAAATTATCATGTTTTAACGAAATCCTGTTGGCGGTGTCAAAGTCTCCAGAACCAGAAAAGAGGCTAATTCAGGAAGTCCAAAATATCTGTAAGCTGCATGCCGTAAATCCTGCCACCAGCGCTGCTGGCGAGCGTTCATTTTCATCTGCACGGCGTCTGAAGACGTGGCTTCGATCAAGGATGGGTGGCGAAAGGTTTAGCAACCTAGCAGTGTTGAATGGCCACAAGCAGAGAACAGACAGTGTCTCTATAGCTGACGTCGCACAGGAGTTTGTTTCCCGCAATGAGAACCGCAAGAGAAACTTCGGCACTGCGAGCAGCTTCAAGACGCAGCAAGGGTACGTAGTTCTATTTAACACAATAACTGTATTGGATAGTAAAACAAGTGAGGACGTCTATGTTATATTAATTGAGGTTGTAAATAAGATGGCGCGCAATGCAAGATAAATGACGCACACTTCCTTAGCGTTTGTTTGCATTGGCCAGATTTTTTAGCCCTACCACTTTAAAATGGCCTTCGCGGCCCCTGCTTTGTCAATAGATGCTCTAAACAAGCAAAAACCATTTCTGAATACGTAACTCCGGTTTTTCTTTTTGTATTTTGGTTTTCTTCCCCTTCTAGGAAAATAAGCGATACGGATTTTTCCGTGTTTCAGCAGCCATAATCCGAGAACATTCCGACAAAACAACCACGGATTGAAAATGGTGAAAGATTTGCCATTCTTTCATCAACCTGACCCAGTGGTGCGAAACGCGAGTGATGTGTCAGCATTTGATTGGCGATATCAATACACGTGAAAAAATATCGTATTTTTTCACGAGTGTTGTTACGGCTTTTTCTCTTTTCTTGGAAATCCTTGTATAACGCCGTAGTCCATATGATGATATCCACATATTTTGTGCAGGGACTGTCTTGCAGTCTTGAGGTCGTCCACAGGAGGGAAGTTCACAACTGTACTTCCTCTTTAACAATATTATTTTCATTATCGTCATTACTATTATCATCATTTTTGACTGGCATGACAGCTATCATCAGGTCGATTTTCCCTCGGACCATCTATACCAAATTTATTACAGATTTCGACTAGTGCGATGGTCTGTTATTACAAAGCGTAACAGTACTTTTATTTCAAAGTGCGACAAGAGTTATTACTGAGTGTGACAGGTATTACATAGTTCGACAATTTCATTACAAAATGCAACGATTATTACAAAATACAACAGAAAAGGCACTCTCTATCTCTTGAATCCTTAGTGCTGGAGGCATGGCATTCAGTGTTACCATAAGATAATTAAATAATTTCCTCTGCCTTTGATTACATTCGCCAACTAAGTTTACGGTTTTGTAAACCCTGCTCACCTTCATCAAAAGAGAATGGCAAAAAGCTGTTACGATGTACATTAGGTCAGTATATGTACATATGTTAATGTTTAAGGTTTTATGATTTTTTCACGACGTTAATCAAAAGCCCTCCCTTGAAATCTTCCTTGTGTGTTCTTATCACGAGGTACGCTCTTGTCAATGCATGCAGCTTTCATGGTCTTCATACACGTATACAAATTATACAAAAGTTGGAATGTATTATGCAAATATATTAAATTTATCATGCAGCGAATTGTTGACCGAGAAGTTATTATCTACGGAGAGAACTATGAAGAAAGGGGGTAAGTTTCTAAAGAAACTGTGGTGCTGTGTCGGTGAGGAGTATAACAAGATAATCTGGCTAAGTTGATAATTTAAATTGGCCTCTGTAAAGAGTTTCTAAATCTAAGGTCTCGAGTGTGAGCTTTTCATCAGAGAGAACAAATTGTCGAACTGCTTACTATCATCTTAAACCTACCATTAGAATTTCACTTTAACCGCAGGAATATTTTATATGCTTCATACACGCCGAGCCCGCTTCTTTTCCTGTTTGTTTAAATCCTTCTTCAGTCATGCCCTCCTGTTCTACGCAAACGGAAAACATTAACACATTTTTTAAGAATATTTTTAAAAGCCCTCCTATAATCAGAGTTTAAACCAGCGTAAACGAAAACGTTGACGCAATGATTCGCGTAAATCATCAGCACAGCAATTTTAACAACAGCTTCTGGTATCACGGCAGCTGTCAGCATCTCAACGATGTCGATGGTTACAATTGGAACTACTAGCAAGATGAAAGATCCCACAACTGCAGCCACAATAAACGTCGTCTTTCGCTGTTTCATGGCTTCTACCTTCTTCTGTCTCACTGCCTCCATCGGCTGTGGAAAAAATTGGGAATTACTATCCCTTCCCGCGAGGTTAAAACCGCTGGAAACGACTTGTGCTTCAATTCGCCGTAAGTGATGAAGACTTTCTCTTAAGATGAAAACGTTGAGGAAGGTGACAACGATTATGGGAATGACGTGAACGAATAGATAAAGACATGTGATATACTCCTGAATTAGAAACGATGGGAATCGACAGAAGGTTACCACTGTTTCAGGCTCTTTTCCACCCCAACCTAAGACAGGCAGGAGTGAGACAGTCACCACAGACAACCAAATCACGCAAACTCCCATCAAGACCTTTTTTGTCGTCATCCAGCTGTAGTAGCAATACGGGAAAAAAATGGATACAGACCTTTCAACAGCGACAAGAAGAATATGAAGATTTGAAGCAGCGCCAAACAACGTAGACACTGGTATCGCAACAGGACAGAAAGATTTTAGATCGCAGTTAACGTCCAGAACTTCTACTAGTCTTAAGGGGAGTGAAACTGCACCTTGGAAGAAGTCGGGTACAGCTAAAGCCACCAGGAGATAGTTACTTTTCGTTTGCAGACGTGTGTTGATGTAAACCGCGAGTATAACTAGAATGTTCCCAAACACTGCAATTACAGCAATGACTGCGTATATCAAGGAGATTAAATAAGTTTCTGCTCTTTTAACGGATGCGGAAATCTCAGAGTTATTGCTTACGTTTAGCGGATGAGTATTCATATTACCAACGAAGGCAATATTGCGTGAATAAACGTTTTCTTTCCGTGTCGATTAGTTCGTTTGTTTTCCTCGCTGCACTTCTAAAAAGTGTTTTTAACCACAATACCTATTTGCTTTATTTTAATTAAACTCTTTGTAAACTCCATCATCATCAGTGGCTGCCACCAAAGTCAACTAAGCATGCAATCACACTTGATGTTTCCTTCTTTTCTCCTTCATTTGCTCATATGTTTGAAGGTGTTCGGTTCAGCTTCGTATTTGCTTACGATAACTCCTAGGCGAATCTGTACCAGTTTGCGTATCTGTAACAGTATGTATCTGAACATAACTAAATCTGCATTTAAATACGACACCCGGTTTCAAAGACCACCGTTTCCTTTGGGGAAACGATTTAATCGATAATAAAGTTGTATAGACATAACAGAGTTGAGAATGACTCATTTGACATTACTTAAGATAGCGGACCGTTCTTGGTTTACTGAGGAAATGAAACGACAAAATAAGAGACTCTACCACGTAATTGAATGAAGTGTTTGGTTCGCCAAAATTACATCAATTTAGCATCCAATTATGAAGCAGAGCTCTTGTGGATTAAGAAACAGCTGCGTATTTTTTAGGAAAGATTTTCTCTCGATCATGCTTTCCTCTTTGTTTTCGCACGACTTCAAAATGATGTCAACATGTGGATTGTCATCAGTATATTAGTGAAATGCGGCTGCAATTTTGATATGGCATACCGGCTTGGATGAAAACCTGAAAGTGTGTCGTGCATGATTTGATATGTATCTGAAAATGTCGGTCACAAGTAAACAATAAAAGGTGGCGAATGGTGCATTAGTCGAACAGTCTAAGAGGAAGTCTCTTTTTCATACGAGTCATCTTAAAAGGTTTAGAAAATGTGTCATCGGGCCTCTGTGACTCCTTCAATTTGTAATACAATTTTCAGCAATCCATAGCAAAGCTCTTAACGCCGCACGTAATGTTTCCTCACGACTTTACGTTTCGGTGTTTATTACTTTTCAACTATTGTGCGGTTGTCTTCTGGACATGAGGAATATTAACTTGATTTATGGATCGGCAGTTTTCGTAACTTTGGGATAATTAAACTCACTAAAATTACACGGATATTGTTCGCAACAGCATGAAAGCTTCTTCAACACGTCAAGATTTCAATACAGCTGCATAGCACAAAAAATGGATTCGGAGAGCGAAAAAATGCTCAAAGAAATGAAACTGTAAGATCTGTGTAACAATTTTTAAATAGACCATTAGCAGATTAACAACATCTCCGTTTAACCTGAAGAAGCAAGTGCAGCGGAGAAAAAGGTCACTTTCGTAAATTAGGTTAGACTCTTTTCATTAATTTCGCGCGATTAACCCTGTGACACTTTGTAGTCAACAGCCAATTATTGTCCTTATAACCCAGTTGCAGTGTCACCTGATGTAACCAATCAGACCAATGTATCCTCTGAATGTAATGAAACTAATAATTATTTCAACAACGAAGTTCTTAACGATATGGAAAACGAGGAAAGTCCTATTGCTTTGAAGAACCGGGTTGGCGATTATACTCTTGACATCACTTCAAGCATTGATTGACAACATTCTCTGGTCTAGGTATCTATTTTCAATCTTCTCTCTGTTTTGAAATTTAAATTGCTATCAGATATATGAACTGTAACATTACCAAAATTCTAAAGTGTATACGTGGCCGTTTGGAAACTGTTTACTCGTGAAAAAATTAAGGCAGACGTTGACGGGAATCAGGAGCCTTAAACTTACACCAGCAATAGATTATTGGCCAAAATCAAGTCCTTTCAAGAGTTTATTCTGGTCACCACAGTAAGGATACAACTTTACAATACTAGCTTAGCTACATGCGTCAAAATTAAAGCAGAAACCGTCTTCTTACACTGAGTAATAATCGTAGCGGGACCTATCACTGACATGTCCATCATCCGCCATTCAGCAATTTTCGAACAAAACACGCTCGCAGTATTTCTACAATAACATACTTTCATCCGAGATAATTAGGGCTTTAAATTCTTGTACTCTTGTGCTACATAAAAACGAAGAATGACCTCACATATTCTCAAGATTACAAGTAAGATCAGGATTAAACTTTTCTGCACAGCAGCAAAATTTCATAAATTCAAACAGTGAAAGAAAGGACGGATTTTAATTTAGCTCACCTTTCCTATAACTAACCAAGGTACAAACATAACCTTAATTAAAGTTTCTAAATTATTCAAGTTAAGGAAAATGAAGAAAAACCACCAACGAAAGCTGAGGTGTTAGGGCTTAGTTGTTATTCAAAACCGCTAAATTTAGTGACCAATTGAAAGGAACTCGTTTTTTTTGAGGACGCAAATTAATATTCTGAACAGGAACTGATAAGACTTGATTATCCAACATTAAAAATTGTAATGACAAAAACGTTTTTTATCCTCAAAAGTAAGTCTTCATGGTAAACTTAAAAACATTCGTCGGCTATCCCATTTGCAAACTTCACACTAGTATCTCGCGGGTGATTGTTATCGCTCATTATACATCACTCGAAGTAGAAGTAAATTGCGAGTTAATTTTTCGCATAAATTTACACTTTATAAGGTGTGGACACTCTTAGTTATTCGGTTTTAGCCCAGTCTAAGGTCTATAAAACCGGATCCTATTCATGAGTTCATTAAGTTAGTTATAAAGGTAACTGATGAATATGAAAGCGACCTTCGCAGTAACGAATACTACTTAGGCGGTAGAGAAAATGAGGCTCAAAATAAGGGAAAAATTCAAGCCTGTACTGGATTAAAGCCAATGACCTTTGCGATACCGGAGCATTGCTCTACCAACTGAGAGTTGTAATGAACTCGTTAGGTGATGAATGGTAAATGATTGTGAATATATGAAAATAAAATATTTACGTATTCACAGTAATTTAAAGAATGACTAGCACATTTTCTACGTTTGCAAAAAAATGAAACCTGACTTTGGTCTAAAGATGTCAAATGATCATCAGAATAAGTGCTTGTGAGGAGACGTGATTCCTGGAAAAGTTAAGCGTCTTGCAGATCCACCTGTACTCCGACTTCAGCTGTCATCTTTCGCTTCGATAAATGGCTTCCTGAACTGGACTCGAGACCATAGTTGGCATATCCTGGAAGATTCCGAATGGAAAGTATTTGATCCATGTTGGCTCCGTGCCTATTAGCTAGAGCTTCATTTTTGGTGTATTCTCCGAAACTGTCGACTCCGTCCTCTTCTCCCTCCAGTGTATCGTTTTCCAGTCCAAAGATGTCGTCCTCAGAATCATTATAGTCAATCCCGTGCTCAAGTTTGTCAGTACCTAAGGGTATATCAAGAGTGTCTGGTTGTAATGCAGTCTTACTTGACATATTGTTGATCCAAGCACGTTCCCGACGTGCCATATGAATGGCAGAAAATTAAGGGTTAGAGGTGTTTGAATAGCAAGAGCCTAAGAAAATTTATGTAAATATAAGAAATACACAACAGAAAGGGACTGCACTCCTAAAATGTAGCTGGGGATAGGAAAAGACTCCATTGCTTCTCCCCCATACCAAGAAATTACAAACAGTTTATAATCTGTGCCTGTGGTGCTTACGCTGCCTGTGACCACACCAATTTGTACGCAGAGATAGCTTTTCTCTCGAAGTATTCACGTCTTTAAATATTGGTTTTTTGGTATTTACTGCTGTTGTGTAGCACGATACCATCCTACGTTTTCGTCATGTGGCGAGATTTTCACATAAAAGTTTTTAGAAAAGAAAGCAGTGAATACATCTAGCGTTTGTGGAGACTCGTGCAAGCATGGCAGAGACGTGAGGGTAAAAATCACTTCAGGTGATGGGGAAGAAAGAGAGTAATTACGGCTATCAAGGTATATTTAGGTGGCACACAAAGTGTGCATGCTGTCATTCCAGTCGTGTTGAACTTGGAAAAATTATCTTACCTATGATCTCTTGCTCACGAGTGAGTCTAATTGGAAGAATTTTATTGATAAGAAACAATTGTAGCCATGTAGTCATAGCACTCCAAGCGGCAATAACGACACATGCCAGAAGTTGGACACCCAGCAGTTTTACGCTGCCACCTTTGAAGAGCCCACGAGCATCTGACAATCCCTCAAGCTCGTCTTCTTCTACAAATAAAGCGACTGCAATCATCCCCCAAATACCAGCAACAGCATGAGTTCCTATGCAACCCACAGGGTCATCGACTTTCAATCTAGAAAATAATTTTTTTTGTTGCATATTCATCAGTTTTTGTCGTTGTTGAAATGGGCCCGAAAAGCAGCATAGAGCAATTTATGTTTGCAAACAGTTTGAGCAAAGAACCAAAAAAAATAAAAAAATAAAAATCCAAGATAAAGCCAGGATTCCTGTGCTTTAATCGAGTAAAATTGTAAAGCTGTCATGCAAATAGAAGCCCCTTACGCTTCTAAGGTAGCGTGGAATTGTTTCCTTCGTTCCCCTTAGAAATTGGCAAACGTAAGAACCAAAACCCTAATTTAGTGTTCAATAGCCGAATCAAACCAGCCGAAAAATGAAGAGGACAATACGAGTTTTTTCTCAATCCCCCGACTATATATGACATGCTAAAGCGTTCATTACACCGCAAGAACGGTTTTCATAGCAACCTGTCAATAATGTCGCAACTGCCGCATGCAACCAATCCTCCTATGAATCCTATGAGGAAGGCCTCCCAAGGACGACACACAGCACAGATGGCTGTGATACCCACGAGACCTCCTAGAATGCCAGTTATGAATACTGCCACGTCCAGCTTTCCTTTTCGGTAGTAGTAGCTGTAAGCTATCCCTAAGATTCCTCCTCCAATTGACCCGTTCAATGTTACTATTGCTGACCTTGAGGCAAGTAGCCATTTTCCTGTGGAAGAAAATTTAAGACCCGGTTTTTACAAAGATCATGACTTTAAAAACTTTGTGTGATTTTTCCACCAGGAGGTTTTCAAGTCAGTTCTAAAGGTGAAAAAAATTCTCCTGCCAGTGTTGTTTCATTTTCCTTTTAGATTTTTTATCACAACAAAATAAACATCTACATGCCTCCACTCATTCCAAAAGTGCTGCCACAATTAAACCCAAGCCAGCCCCACCACAGCATAAACGTTCCCAGTAGAACATTGGTGAGTGACCCCGGCTTTCCTTGTTTGACTGAATTGTCATATCGTCCTAGTCTCGGACCCAGCATGATCGAGGCCACCAAACCAGCGACTCCTCCAACTAAGTGAACACCAGAACACCCTGAAGAAAAATCGAATCAAGCTCTAATATTCATCAATGCTCTCCACAAATCCTTTAAAAAAAAAAGAAATAATTAACGTGTCGTCTTAGTCGTGTTTTCCTGATACAACCATCCTCAATGATGTCTAAAACTGCAACATTTTTCCTTTTAAGCTTCTGAAGACTTAGGTGTGTTATAGCCAAATAAGTTATGAATATTCTCTTGATAGCGCAAAGTTTCATTTTGATTTACCTGCAATGTCAATAGCACCAAGCTCCTTGAGAAAGCCTTTTTCACCCCACAGCCAATGTGCTGGAAAGACATACGATATCGTGTTGGTAAAAGAGTAAATTGTGTATGCATGTAGATGAGTTCTTTCCGCCATTGCCCCCGACACGATGGTTGTGGCAGTTGTGGCGAACGACATCTGAAAGAAATACAGGGCGAACACATCTCCTTGCTCAGCTTCTACGTCCATCGCAAAATAACCTGGCGGGAAAGCAAACAACGAAAAAGCGTTCGGTTGAGACATTTCCATGTTATTCTTGGGAAATACGAGATATGCATTCAGCAAAGTGCATCAAATGACACGGAGATGTAGAGTGGGCCTCTTTTTTAAACGTTGATAAAATCCATTGAATAATTCTTCAGTTAATATTGAGAGGGTAGAAGCGGCTGGTTGGCTAGTTTAATTGCTCAACCCAAAACTGACGAAAAATAAAACAATAATTAATTGCTGTGACAATAACATCGATTTTCTCGGAATCTTCGTTGCGCCTTAGTTAGTGAATGAAGCAAGGACAGTTTTGCTTTATCAATTACGAAGGCAGGAAGCTGGTTCGCTACTTTGAAACTTCATTGCTGTGCGTGCAACTAAGATAAAAAACAATTCTTTTTTAATTTCTGGCGACACATAATTTCAGGCAAATTGTATGAAAAAAGTTTACAAACTGTCTCTATTTCTTTACCCATGCCACAAAAGGCATTTGTTCCTTCAGCGATGCCAAAGCTAAATGCAAATCCGTACAACCAATAAGATAGTCCTCCATATATGACGTCCACGGCATTTTTAACCATAATATTGACCTCATTCTTCTGAGAGACCAGACCTGGAAATCATAGGGAAATGACGCCTGCGTATTAGGAGCCATTAAAAATTGCTTTTTCGGTCAATGTCCTATATAAATACGTTAAAATGATGTAGATCATTGAGTTACCAAACGTTGTTCCTAGTTATTCTCAGATATGAACATCAATAACCTTATTTTTGTCACAATCCGAAGCGGGCTTTAGGGTCTGAAGACTCTTTGCAAGATATAACCTATTTTAGTACGGTCAAATTATAAGGAATACCTTCATTATGGTTATTTGGCATAACATGTATTATGCTTCAAAACTGCCAGTTTATGTTACGTGTCTTCAGCACTCTCAATTCAGTTACGAACCGACTCTCGCTCAACCTAGTATTTTTAACCCTTCAACTCCTAATATCTAATTGTTAATTATCTCCTTTAGCTGCTACACATTTTCCTGTAAATTGATCATGAGAATCTGTTGTTAGATCAAGACAAAAACTCCTACCTGACAAGTTAGAGTATTCTCATTACCTGTTTGCAGGAAAATGTATGAGGAGAAGGTAGAAGTTACATGTTAATCACTTCTAGGAGTGAAAGGGTTAATAAAAATTTCTTTTCAAAAACGAAGCGATATTGAAACAGATAAACGTGAAAAAATCGTGACGGGAAAAATCATGATACAATTTTACAAGGTGTCGAGTTCCAATTTCAGCTTACGTAACTGTTAACTGATTTTCTAAAAAAAAAAAAACACACAAATATACCAAACTTCGACTTATCATTCTGGTTTATTTTCTACCTCTGGTGTATCCTATGTCTTGGTTACGCAGTTTTTTATTTCTTTTTGTTTGAGTGAGTCAGTGCAGTGGAATTTTTTTTATCAGCTTTTTTCCGAAAATGAACCAGCAAATTATACACTGAATTATACAAACAAACCTGACTCCACTAGTCCGAATCCAGACTGCATTGTAAATATTATGAAAGCACTTGTCAAAATCCATGTTGCATCGTCCGAATTCAACTCAGCAGGGCTTGTTACAGACTCGCTTCCATTTATGTTAGTACTAGAAGAGTTCATCTCTAATTTTACCATCAGTTACAGCCGGCGGACTCGCAATTTATGCAAACTGAAACAGTGCAAGCTACCGCATCCTATTAGCAATTTTTAAATAACTTCTATTGATTTAAATATACAACAGTTCTAAGACAAACAAACAAACGACACAAAAATATAAATTAATTTTCGTTGAAAATGAAGATTCGTTTATTCTCGTAATCAACATGTTTGACCCACTAGCCTCCGTAATACTTAAGAGTTGCATTGAATGTCAAGTTTCTTGAAATTTCTCGCTATGAAACTGGATCAAAATTACCAATTAACCAATGAAAACCTCCCTGCTGATTTCTGAAGATTACTCTCGAAATAAATGGAATAGAAAAGCTATCATCCTCAACAAACACGTTGCTTAAGAAACGTGAGTAGTACAGTAGAGTAGTCCGTTGAAATTGACATTTCTCTCTTCCTGTATTTCGTTTCTCTGTTGATCGGCTGATTTTTGTGTTTATATGAAAAAATGAAACAAGGCTCCTTTTCAGCAAGGTGAAAATATATTTGTATGGAATTTTGTACCGCCCAACAGGGTGTTTACTCGTAATAGGTTTCAAACGAAGATCAAAACAAAAATTGAGAACTCAGTTAACACAAGCAAATGATAGCTGTTGCTTCTTAGGCGATCGACTTTGTTCATGAATTATTCTGCATATCTTCGAGACTCTTCTTTGAAATTATCTCCCGCCGGATAAGCGCTGGGTCTATTTACAGGTTGCCTCGACTTTTCGCATGTTATGTTCCTTTCAGACGCTCCAGCCTTTGTATAACAACACATTCTCTGTACTAAATAAGCATTATCCACCTCTATAACCTACGCAGTTTATGCGACCCTGTCTTTTATTCGAGAAACGACCGGATGCAACCAAAATTACAAGGATGACTCATATTTGTTAAGATTTGATTTGAGCTTAGTTTAGCTTTTTTTTGAGAGACACTTACTCACTTCAGCTCGCATAAATCATAAAATGTATTCAAAAGATAAAAATTTTGGTTATGCAATAGTTGCGACTTGATGTTTAATAAAGGTAATGTATACACTGGTAATCCGTTATCATCAGAGTCCTCCGTCATGAATTGTTAATTTAAAATTTGTCTTTTTTGAAAGTAGAAAATTTATATTGAATCCCGTTAAAAAAAATTCAATGGATCCAGAAGCATTTCGCTTTTTTAAGGGTTCTTTTGATTTGCCTGTTCGCCGACATTTTACATTTGTTTGGATTCGGTAAACTTATAAAAAAGCTGAAACAATTAAGATGTCAGGCACCCTATCAGAATTCTTCTTTGCATGATAAAAACGAACAGGTGAGAATATTTAACAAAGAATTGTTTATATTCTAACTTGGTCTGAATTATTAACCATAACCAGCGCCAATCGTCTATTTGCGATACAGAGTGCGATGGAAAAGACTAACAACATTCGTTAGAAAATTTGTAAGAGAAGCTCGCTTATTTTCTAATTCTTGATATTGATGCATGAAATCTGTTCTATAATGAAGTATTTGTTCAAAGCTTTGTTCAAGGACGAACTTTGCATACTAATGATTTCATATACAGTGTTGGTTGTATATGACTCATGAAGTGGTGCTAAGTGTCACAAAGAGGTAGGCAGGACTGAGAAAGGCCCTTATTTCAAAGAAACAAAACAGAACAAAATTCAGAATCTGAATCGCGTGCTTAGAAAACAGCCGTTTACCGACAGGCTAAACTAACGCCGTATGTATGAATAATTTGCGATTGCTTTTGTTAACGATCTGCGTGAAATCTTCCTTTTTAAGCGATTTTTGTTATATCATAAGGTACTTTTTAACCAATCTTTACCTAAACTTTTGAGAAAAAGCAATCATAATCAGAGGGAACAGAAATATCATTACAAATTTGTAAATCTCTTCTGCTACACTAGGTTACTATTTATGTCAAATCAACCCACCTTATTAATTATTTCAGATACGTAAAGGAGCCGAAGAATCACTCTTTAACTTGGGAAGAGATCAGCATCAGCAATCATGGTGACGAACTCGTCGCTTTTTAATGGATCCTCTGTTCCGTTTACCAGCAGTGAACTACCAACTACAAGTCCTCGAGGAAGAGATACCATGGATGGCCCGGGTGATGCTGTTTGGATTTTAACCAGTGCTTTCATCATTTTCACGATGATTTCGGGATTTGGACTTGTAGAATCTGGTAGGCTTATTCTTGGGATTTCAGTTGGTTCCTGATGCTTGAAACACCGAATTAAAAAATTAGAAATGTATCGTTTTAATTTACTTCATATTTCGAGTTTTCGAGATCTTTATTTCACGTTATCCTAAATGATTGTTCAGTTCACCAGTGATGTCAAATTTGTAATCATGGGATTTTTAAGATGGAACTTATCATGTCTTCCTCGGCTTATGGAAACGAAACTCGAAATTTCCCATCAGCATTAACCGAAATCCAAAGATCTTGAAGGTTTTACCTTCACAAAATCAGTAAAAGAAAATGACTGAATAGAAGATTGAATGAGGGAAGGCATAAACTCCATTAGTGGAAGGACTTTTTTTTTAAAACACACCAGCTCGCAATTTGTCGATTAAATGCACCCTTGACTTCTTATTTGCAAGTAGACGAATTAATTTTGGATCTGTCAAAACATAATATTTTAATTGTTTCCTCTTCGCTTTATCATGTTCGTAATGCGTTTCCGAACGTGGATTCGTGAGATTCGCCAAAGGTTTTTCCTACCTCATGCGTTAGTCTTACCACTCGACATATCAATTTTAGTTTCCTGTTTTTTGTAGAATATGATAACTTCCTATATTGCAAAATTCGCCCCTACGTCAAATATGTCATTTATGAATTTTTTTTCCTGTTTCGCATTTCTTCATGTGGCTAATTGATCTATTTCTCCACCTGTAAGTTGGCTACCAATGGCCTTGTCATGCATGTTTTGCAATTATTCTCTGGCAAGTTATTCCATTAAGAGCCTGGATAATGCTGCCTAAGCTCTGTTTACATCAAAGCCATCTTTTAATGAAATCATAAACACGAGTAGAAATCGGGAGTCTGCTAAATAATCCAATCATAAACCAGCAAAATAATTTAAGTAAGCTTTCGCACGAAAATATATACATGGTAGCTAATCGTCTCAAATGAGGTATTTTCAGAGGAGAGCTTAAATTAAATGGTTCATTGCTATACCTCATTGTAGGAGAAAATATTATGGTGATACACAAGAGGCTCGCCTCTGCAAATAAAACAAAAATAAAATAATAAGGATAGTGGCGTTGAAATTAGACATTTCAAATTATCTTAACGAGAAGAAGATTTGAATCACGTGATTCTAGGTGTTTGGCAAACTGTTCTTAGCGACGGCAAATTTGGATTTTAATTTCCATTTTCTGCTAGTGAGGATATTGTTCTATGGGATGGTAAGTAGCTATAGAGGTTTGCAGCGCCATCTTAAAATAACAGTGACTACAAGTATGCCTTCAACTCTCTTTTCTGGATCATTGAAGGATGAGCTGACAAACAGACTGTTGTTCTAGAGAACAATTTTTTGTATTTAAGCCTTTGGTTTGCCTTATTAGGGTGGAAAATTTGGCCTTTGGAAACACTAAATGAAAGCTTATTTCTAACCTGTGACATGTGCGTTTTTGTCGTTGCCCATTGCGTAAGAGGCCAAAATTCTAAAACAGTACTACCTGAGCTCTGTTTCGACGAATCCTAACACACGAAACCGGTTCCATTATCGCTAATATGTGATTAGCTGTATCTTTAAGGGAATGTTCATTGCTCTGACTGTGAAGGAGAACAAGCTTTCTGGCACTTTTTGGCTGCAACATAAAAAAAGTGATTAATTAAAACATCAGGAAAAGTTCACTCGTCATATCATTAAGTACTCCAGTATTTTAATTTGGATGTGCAATTTGGATATGGTCAATAATTTCTCTATTGCTTATATCTAGGTATGGTCTCTAGAAAGAACGAAGCAAATATAATGGTGAAAAACGCTGTTGATGTTATATTTGGCGGCCTGGGGTTCTGGATGTTCGGCTTTGCTTTCACTTTTGGAAAGGACGAAGGTGCAAATGCATTCTCTGGCTATGGAAGCTTTTTCACAGACGCAGAGGAGACGCGAATGGGCGACGTGTTCGCACTTTATTGTTTTCAAGCCTCTTTTGCCACTACCGCTACAACCATCGTTTCAGGAGCAGTAGCGGAGAGGATGAACTTAAAGGCGTACATAATATTTGCCTTTACAAATACCTTAACATATTGCTTCCCAGCCCACTGGGTATGGGGGGACACAGGCTGGTTACGTAAGATGGGAGTGGTCGACATGGGTGGGGCCAGTCCAGTACATCTTGTGGGAGGAGTCGCAGGTCTGGTCGCAACTATCATGCTCAAGCCCCGAGCTGGAAGATTTAAAAGCTGTTCAGATGCAAATGCACCCTTGACGCACAAAATGGGAAGTCCAACGAATGTATTGCTTGGTATGTACGGGTATTTAAATTTTTTAACTTTAGGTTTGAGATTTCATGCTTCAGTCGATAAGTCAGTTTGTTTAAAAATCGGTCAATGAATCGGCTAGTAACTTAGTCATTCAATCCGTCAGTCAGTTATTTGGTCAGATTCATCGGCAGCCATGATTTGAGTCAATAATATGAGTAGTTCATATACCATTTATTTTAAATTAATATTTCTGGATATTTACCACTATATTTGTACCGTTATAAGAAATTTTTTACAGAAGAGAAACTACGTTATTCCTCCTATTTCTCTCATTACAGGAATGTTCATGCTATGGTGGGGTTGGCTCGGTTTTAACTGTGGAAGCACATTTGGGGTCAGCGGTGGAAGATGGAAGCTTGCCTCTAGGTCAGCGGTCTGTACCATAAATGCTTCATGCGGTGGTGGTGTTTTCGCTACTTTTTACAGCTACTTTAAATGCAACAGGTGAGATAAAAGGCATCATTGCCAAACGATAATTTCCTGAACGTGATGCATGCATGTTTTAAGGCAACCTTTTGTAAGTTCTTAAGCCCTCCTTAATTCTTTGTTTCGTTCGGTCACTTAGACAGTGAGGTTGAGAGGCTTGTAAATGAATGATTCCATGGACGAAAAAACCAACTTTTCATACAGTCCTGCCAATAAATACTGGATATGTCTTTTTGAATTGATGATATCCGAGCTTTCAATATTTTAAGGGTTTGAGTCCGAAACGCATCTACACTCGAGGTCATCTGAGTGAGATTTTGTATCTTTGCGATATCATCTACTAGCGGTAAGGTTTTCAAATCTTCTCGGGAAAGGACACGAAGAAACATCGCTTTGACAATGGCCATAACTGTGACAACCAATGATCTCTAGGTAAGAGTCATTGTTAAATTTAGCTTCCCAACCACTGTTTAATCAAGGACAGAAATGTAAGGGTATCAACGATAAACTAACATCTTACGTTTCTCTTCTAGGTTGGACATTCCTTTCTTCATGGTTGGAGTACTTGGTAGCCTCGTCAGTATCACTGCCATATGTGGTGTTGTGAGACCTGGAGAGAGTTTAGCAATAGGCTTCATCGGTTCAGCAATTTCTATCCTTGGCTGGCAACTTCTAAGCAAACTCAAAATTGATGACCCTGTAGGTGCAGTTCCTACCCATGCAGGGGGCTCTATATGGGGGATGTTAGCTGTTGGACTCTTTGTTGAAAAAGACACCCTTGAGAATACTTTCTCCTCAACTTATGGTGCTTTCAAAGGCGGTCATGTGAAGATACTTGGTGTGCAGCTTTTGGCATGTGTGTCCATAACAGTATGGACCGTCATAACAGTTTTTATGCAGCTTTACATCATTGAAAAATCTGTGGGGCTGAGATTCCCACTTGAGGAAGAGATCCTCGGAGCTGATGCCTGTGAACATGGAATTGACCAGTCACAAGCTAGACCTGAGAACCGGGTGCGCCCCGTGACAGGGTCACAGAATAGAGTGTTCCCCATAGGCGAAGATGGACATATTGGAGAAGCGGATTCAAATCCCCAAAAAAATCCTTCAGCACGTAATGGAACTTCTAAACCTGGAAGTGATGACACTAGACTGCAAGACTGTGAAGAATCTGCCACTGAATCGATATCCGAACTATCGTTAGAGAGCATCCCGGGATATGATAAAACGACGCACAGAAAACAACACATTTCATTCCATGAAGCCGAGAATAACTTTGATCCCAACAGTTCCGGCAATGTTTTTAGTTCAAGAAAAAGATGGGATAAAGTTCTCCAATCTACGAGAAAAGTCAGCTTCTCCGAGAAAAATGGGGATAGAGACGTCCCTAATGAATTTTCCCAGCCTAAGGCGAAAGTTCCCGTGGTCATAACCCTCACACCAGCGGATGACAGTCGGGAATTAAGGCTGAGTTTAAATGACATGAGAAAACTGACAAAGTAAATGCTTTAAAACCTTTATTATCAAGATCTAAAAATAGTGGTAAATTTCATTCAAAATCCACTCGCAAAGATGCTGTTTTTTTAGAATGGAGTAATTGCTTTGCATATTGGAATGCAGGTTAGAGAGTGATCGAAAAGAAGGTGCGAATAGATCTTTATTCTTTAGTTTGGCCTAAATAATTTGTTGCTATATCGAAGATTTGTCTCATAGAAAGGCCCCCCTTGTAAATAAACGGTTCAAATATCGATTAATTCGTAGTGCTAAACATATTAACCTTTGAATCGTCATAAAAAGGTGACCTTTTACGTTTTGTATAATGTCTTGTGCAAATAAAGTTAAGGTACGTTAGCCTTGTGTGCTTTAATTTCATTTACCTATTATTTAATGGATGGTTATCTGTACAGTTTGGATAAGCTCAGTCCCAAAATAGTGATACCATGCTGGCGCAAAACACTAAGTTAAAAGCTTGATTGCTATTTGTTTTCAATGTAATGAATATTTATCAAAACTACGACAAGACAGAACTGACCAAATGTCAGTCACTCCTAGATTAACACGGAAATTTATTAATGCAATAGACTATGATATGAGGAGGTTCGTGTTCACGTAGTAATAGCCAGAAACTCTGGTGCAGATGTGATGGTAAAGAATATATATATATATATATATCAACATCTCAAGAATATTTTACAGTTCAATCAACACACCATGTTCGCAGATAACTTGTACACATTTGTCTAAGGTACCCTTTTGTTTAATCATAGGATAACATGATTCCTGCCTCAGAAGTTCCTCAATATCCGACTCCATACTGCACATCGATGGCAGTTCGTTCGAATTTCGTGAGCCCTCGTTGTCTTTTCCTATATCTGTGGAACTAAATATACGATTCTGGCTGGAATTTTTTGAAGCTTGATCTTTTCCCTGGCTCTGTTCCCTTTCAGTTACATTTCTCCGTTGAGCAGATACAAGACGGTTCGGTGCGCTGGAGCTCTCCAGCTGTGGGGCCTCCTCACCTTTTTTCTCGTCCCCAGTTTCTTCCCCGATTCCATGCTCTACAAAGTCGCATCCCTGTAACTCTTCCTCCCGCGTAAGTCGTATTCCGATTGTCTTCTCGATCAGAAAAAGTTGAATAACTGTCGTCACGACTGCCCAAGCTGCTGTTACAAGACATGCAAGCAACTGGACACCGAGCAGTCGCCAGCTTCCTCCCTTCAAGAAACAATTATGTCTCTAGTTAGCATATATTTTCTTTCCGCAATAAAAATAACAGTGACAACCGAGACAGGAGAGGGTGAATGTAGAATCAAGGGATACATGTTAAATCCACGACACTGCACCTTCCCGTTTGATAACAAAAGAGAGTTTTAACTTATGTCTCAGGTAAATTCTATTGTGACATTACCAAAGTGAATGGTTCCTAAGAACCGCGAAAGTATTTTAACTCGCTCAGTTTTTGGTTTGTTTTCATTTGCAAAGGCGAGAAAATCAGATTTTTTGACCCGCGCTCGTTATGAAAAGTATCTATTTTAGTTGATGTCATTTGTATTTGTGTTTCATAATTATTGTCATGAATTTTTTTTTGATTAGATGTGTTTGTTTTGATAGCCCTCCACGCCCAGACTACATCGAAGATCCTTGCCAGACCTTCATATCTCCACCGCCGACTCCCGATAAATTCACCTTGTACCACAACTCCAAACTAACAGTGTAGTTTAAGGTAATGAATTAAAAATCGAGGAACCCAAAAAGTAAAAATACAAACTGTTACGAATATTATAATATTGTTATTATTATTACTAAGGAAATCGAATACTTGGTTATAAATAATACATGAAGAAAAAATACGCGAGGGCACACTGATTTAAAATCACAAACCATGCCTGTCCTGTCTAGTTGCAATTATAAATGTCGCTGCAATCATAAATGTCGCTGCAATCATAAATGTCGCTGCAATCATAAATGTCGCTGCAATCATAAATGTCGCTGCAATCATAAATGTCGCTGCAATCATAAATGTCGCTGCAATCATAAATGTCGCTGCAATCATAAATGTCGCTGTAATCTTTGCCAGCTGTGTCAATTGCATAAAACTCACTTTAAATAGGCCCTTTTCCTTTGAGAATCCTTCGTTTTCCTCTTGTTCAGCAAATAGAGCCACAGCAATCATACCCCAGACTGCTGCTCCGGCATGGGTAGCAACGCAGTTGACCGGATCATCAATCTTAAGTTTAATCATGGCGTCAGACAGTAAGCAGGCGAACATTCCACCAAACAGTCCAATCAAAATTCCTTCCCATGGTCGGGCAAGAGCACATATACCTGTAACTGACACCAGACCGCCACGGATTCCAGTTACGAATGTTGGAACATCTAATGTTTCTGCATCTTGGAGGTAACTGTAAGCGATTGCGACGATACCCCCACCGATTGAACCATTTAATGTGACAACTGCTGCACGAGCGGCTAACTTCCATTTTTCTACAAATAAAGCAACGGAAAACTAAGCAAAATAAAGATTGAGACTTAAAAAAACTCAAGCCCAGATCAGTCATTACACTTCTTACCTCCAGTGATACCAAAGGTGCTGCCACAGTTAAACCCCAGCCAGCCCCACCACAACATGAACGTTCCTAACAGCACATTAGTCATGGAACAAGGCTGGAGCCTTTTCTTGTTGTCATCAAAACGACCTAATCTAGGCCCTAACATGACTGCAGCAGCGAGTCCTGCGGCTCCTCCGACTAAATGCACTCCAGAGCAACCGGCGATGTCGATGACACCAAGTTCCTTGAGAAGTCCCTTCTTGCCCCAGATCCAGTGAGTTGGAAAACACGTTGACAGCGTGCTCACGAAGGAATACAGCATGTAAGCCTTGAGATTCGTTCGTTCGGCCATAGATCCGGACACAATTGTGGTCGCTGTGGAAGCCAGTGCCATTTGGAAGAAGTACATGGCATAAACTTCTCCTTTGTCGATAGGTACTTCTGTGAGGAAATATCCGACCCCTGTGAAGGCGTTCGTACCTTCGTCTACTCCAAAGCTTAATCCGAAACCAAATAACCAGAAAGATAGACCACTAAAGATAATATCAATGGCGTTCTTGACCATTATGTTTGTCTCGTTTTTTATCGTAACCATTCCTGAAAAAGAGCATAAACAATTTATATCTGTGACTTTTCGTTGTGTATAAAAGTATATACCTTAGATTTGCTTGTGACAGGACGGAAACAGTTTTGGGCAACAAACAATATAAGCATGCAACATTCTCGACAGACATGGAGACGAACCAAAAAACCTGAGCCCCCTACCCACATCCCTCTTCACCGAATGCTATGAAGGAAAAGCTCTTCAGCATGAGCTCGAATGGTCGTCATACTACATCGACATATCTAAAATGTCTTTAACCTGTAAGTTTGTTGTTACCTTAGTTGGATCATTGGTTCGAATATTGACCTTTTTTGTTTATTATTGTTGAATGCGAAACCTTACCTCGAGGCAAAACCCGATTTTCCGAATGCGTGAGAGTTTTATATTGACCATGTTGTATAAACTGAATGGTCCTAGCTTACCCCTTTTTCTGATCCGAGAAAAAAAAGAGGATTGGCAAGTATTTGTTTAGATACCCTGCATGCATTACAAAAATGGAAACTCTGATAAACAGAGAAATATCTCAAATTATTCAAGATTGTTTTTCTATCTCTTCTTTTTAGCTCTACATAACAAATTTGCCAAGGTTTCTCTTAACAGTTTCAATAATTCGTTGTGCCTGATAAATACACTACTTACCCGATTCAATGAGTCCAAACCCTGACTGCATGGTAAAGACAATAAAGGCACTAGTGAGAATCCAAGTGGCATCTTCATAATCGATAGGCCTTCCTGTAAGTCCTTCTAACGGAAAGTCTGTCGACGTCGCCATTGCAATTGCGACTGTCCTGCTTCAGCCAAGGCGGCAAACGAATTTCTCCATTACATTTACTAGGATTAGTTTTTTTTTTAACAGCCTTTCAGTCACAGTTTAACACTCGTGGACACTCTGATCATTGAATGTGTTTTCTTGTTGTTTGATGTGTTTTTCTTGTTATATGGAATTAGTTTGTTTGCGTCCAAATTACTTAACCTATTTGACAAACAACACTTCTTCTTACTGAGTGAATCAGTTCTGTGTAAGGTGCGGTGAGCTACCAAACCGAGAGCTTGTTTGAAATAAAGGTGTATATAAAGATGACGAACAAAACAATCATTCATTATTCAATATTTCTTTTCTGTTCATCAAATAGCTCGTATGGCCTTAGATGATGATAGAGCATTCACGGGTGTTCCCTAATTAACAAGTTGTCGCTGATCAATAAATCATTCTTATTGTAGCGAAGTTAGCCTGCCATTCGCTGACCTATAAATAATCTTAATCAACTGCCCTGCTTGATGTAAGAAATTTATATGAACACTAAAAATATATAATGAAAGCTAAAATTCTAAACTGGAAAACGTTGCTATACAGTTTGAATTTTGGTAAAAGAAAATAATTGACAATATACTTCGAAATAACTGTTTTGTAACCTTAAGGTGCTTGAATTTGTTGGAAAAAGAATGGTTGTTGTTTGCATCAGAAATATCTGTACATTAATAACCTTGACTATTTTCACTTAAATTTGGGTGAAACTGCGTTTATTTTCATAATTTACTTTCAATACAGCCTAAATCTAATGTAATAATTATGGGAAAAATCTAGAGGAAAAACTTGCATGGCGATGGAAACCGTATTGTATTTTTTGAATAAGCTTAACTTACTCTGTTTCTCAGATAAAATGAAACTTCATTTCAAACCCCACAGAAAAGCAATTTGTTTTCCCTAGTTTTGTTTTGGTTTTCATCGTGCGGAAAGCTTGTAACTAGTATAATTAAACCTTGGTAATTTTGCACCGTTTCAATATTGATCAAACACAACTTTCCCATAGGGCACGATACGTAGAGTAGTTTCAATCAGTGTAATTTGCTTTACCAATGTAGACATGATATTTCAGCGATAAAGAACCTGAACATTACACTTCTTTTCTCACTTTTTAATCGCTAAATTCTATACAACTTCGTCCTCTTTTTAAATAGTAATTGTTTTGGCAACAGTCGAATTGCGGTATTGATAAAACATAACCTTTTGTCTTGAGCTTTAACATACGTAGTATGATAAAAATTACCTGGAGTCCTGCTGATGTGTTGTCTTTCCTTGTGCAAGTCAAACTGTGAACAAATGACTCACTCGTAAGATTACATGAAATATTCATCAAACCAATCTCACGTCTCGAGATGATTTACAAAGGAAAGTATAAAACAAGGTACTTGGTTATGCAGTTTAATTTGCTCTGTCGTTTTCTACGAAAATTGCTCGACTCAGGTGAAATCGACAGAATCTGACAGCAAGCAAATTTTAAGATGAGCCTTAATGTATCGTCAACGAATATGACTTCTGTTCCTCCCACCGAAGCAGTTCAAGTTGGCCATGGTGACGCCGTCTGGATTTTGACTAGTGCTTTCATTATCTTTACCATGATCTCTGGATTCGGACTAGTTGAGTCAGGTCAGTTGAATCAGTTCGATATTCATAATTTTAAGAAAATGTGGTTTTTTTAAGGAAATTTTTTTTGGCATACTCCATTTGGGGTAAAGCTACAGGAATCTCACAGGATCGTGAGAAATTGTTTCGTGACAAATCTTGTTATGTCAAGTCTACACAAGTAATGATAACTTACCTCGGATGTTGAGAGGGGGCACTCACTTCGTGGGTTTTATTTGATTTGTTAACTTAACGTCACATGCACTGCCTGACAGTATTATACCTAACAATGTCTTATAGTCTTTGTATTGAACTTGATTATCACCAGGTATGGTATCTAAGAAAAATGAGACCAACATTATGGTAAAGAATGCCCTGGATGTGATTTTCGGTGGCCTCTCCTATTGGATATTTGGCTTCGCTTTCAGTCGGGGAGAACCAGACGATGAACATGGTAAATACAATGCATTTTCAGGATCAGCAAACTTTTTTGCTGACGCAAGCCGGTCAAGAATGGGAGGCGTGTTCGCTTTGTATTTCTTTCAAGCATCTTTTGCAACAACCGCAACAACGATTGTGTCAGGTGCCATCGCAGAGCGTGCAAATTTGCAAGCTTATATGGTCTTCTCTTTCACGAACACGTTGGCTTTCTGTTTTCCAGCTTACTGGGTTTGGGGAGAGCACGGCTGGCTGAAAGAGCTTGGAGTGATAGATGTGGGTGGAGCCAGTCCTGTACACCTAGTGGGTGGGGTTGCTGGCTTGGTGGGGACCATCATGCTAAGGCCAAGACGAAACAAGTACAATGACAATGGCTTGACACTAAAAATGGCTTCTCCGACCAATGTTCTGTTGGGTATGTTCATGCTCTGGTGGGGCTGGCTCGGTTTTAACTGTGGAAGCACATTTGGAGTCAGTGGTGGTAAATGGAAGCTTGCTTCTCGGTCTGCTGTCTGCACACTGAATGCCTCTATTGGTGGCGGCATCTTTGCCCATCTGTTTAGTGTCTTTTATTTGAAGCGTGTTGATGTACCAACTTTCATGTCTGGAATTCTGGGTAGTCTAGTGAGTATCACGGCAATATGTGCCGTTGCCAGGCCTGGGGAAAGCATTTTCATTGGTTTCATTGGTAGTGTGATCTCAGTGATGGGGTGGCTTTTGTTGGAGAAGTTTAATATTGATGATCCTGTCGGCGCTATCTCAACGCATGCTGGCGGGGCCATTTGGAGTATGCTTGCTGTCGGCTTGTTCGTCGAACAAGATCGCCTAGAAGATTTCTCAGAGACATACGGTGTTTTCAAAGGTGGCCATTTCAGAATTTTGGGAGTTCAGCTCCTGGCATGCTCAACAATTGGACTGTGGGCAGCCGTGGTTGCATTTTTGCAGTTTTTCATCATTGGAAAGTTTATACATTTCCGATTTTCTGAATATGAGGAGAAACTGGGTGCTGACTTCTGTGAACACGCTGTAGATCACAGCACGGAGCGAAAGACACCAAAGCAGCTTCAGAAGCTTGAACGGATGCGTGCAGCATTGGCAATAAAGAATAAAGTTGCACCTGCCAATAGTCCAGCTGGATATCCTCAAGAGAAAAACCTACGATTTACTCTGTTCCAAACAATAGTGGGGGCCTTATGGAGTGCACAGCGAAGCACGCGGGTCAATCAGTTACAGGCAGAAGAAAATGAGAAAGGTCACTCAAAGTTAAGATCAGTGGCATCTGTCCTTAGGGGTGGTGGAAATTTCACTCAAGTCTCTGAATTTCAGGAAGAGAAATTAGGAGAGGGTGAGGCCTTTGCTGAAAATAGGAAAGGTGTGGCAAGGTTTAGGGCCATAGCGCTTGCTTTGAGAGGTGCTCAGCAGATGAGGAGAGTTACTCAGTCACCGGCAGAGCAGGAGGGAAATTCTGATGATGACCATACAAGAACTTAAGCAAGGTTCAGACCTGTGGCATGAGCAGCAAGGGGTATTCAACACAAAGCAAACACTATTCAAGTAAAAGAGGCAGCAAATTCTTATAACCAATCTTAAGTTGTTGATGATTGTCCTTAAGTTATAAATCTGTTGTAAAAAAGAGTAAAATGTGCGATGTGTTTTTCTTTGACAATCAAAATAATTTTCTTAACATGTGTTCTCCTGAAAATTTTTCCTTTCTGATTCACTTATCCAAACGGCCTGTAAGTTAGAATGAATTTCTAATCAAACGCAATTATTGCACTTTAATTAGCAAAATAAAATTTCTCTATTACAAGTCTCTAATTATATGTAGTCATTACCTTAAATAGACATTTCATAAAAATAGCCTTAGAATTGGCCTTAGAACATGTAGCATTTGTCATCTTAATGATCCTTACTTTTCACAACTTTAAATTCCAAAACTTTGGCCCAAATTCTCAATACTCTCCAATTACTACAGACAACTAAGAAGCAACAACCAAGAAATATCTTGTGGGTGGAAGTCTGTCATTATCATAGTCATTTGCTGAATGCTCGCACTGCTGATATCCCCTCTTATTACTGGGTATTAGATAAGTCGAAGGTATGAACTTGATGTGACTTTTCTTTTTGTTTCTCTTTTTTCATAAAGGTACAAAACAGAATGCATCATTGAATAAAAGGGGTAGGTCTTGAAAGAAACTGTTACACTGTGTCTGTGCAGGCTGGTTAGTCCCACTTGTGCAACTTTTGGTGTTTGGAGCTACTTTTTGTGGTTCTAGCAACCTCTGGCAATTTTTACCTTTTTTCAGAAGTTTTCGAGCAAATATAGGTTTAGAGCAAATATCAAGTGTCAAGAAGTTCATGAGATTGTAAGAAATTTGAATCTATGTGAATTTCTTGAATGGTTACCAACCTTTTGAACACAAATGAACCATGTATTGTCTTCTGTTAGACTTAAGAGTATCCATTTGAAACTTTTAATACGTAGGTGGAAAAATTTTTGGATTTTTGGAAATTTTTTAGCAACTTTTTGGTACTCCAGTGAGCAACTTTCCAGCATTTTACAACAACAATCAGGACAGGCCTAGAGGTATTACAAGATAATTTTTTTTTATCAACTGGGCTAGTATAGCCAGTTTCTTGTGTTATTCAGAGCAAATAAGGAAAGGCTAACACATGAAACTTCAGCTTAAGAAATATCTGTGGGGGCCAATTTACATTAACAACTCAGTCGATAAAACTCAAAATATAACACTGCCACAAATCAGTGACCAGCTGCAGATAGACAGATGATTGTGCCACAACTGGCAGTGCACCCTAAAGATTTATATTGGATTGCATGACCATCAGCAGGAAACCCCCCAATTCAGAGCTAGTTACAGTAGTGAAGACAAATTATCATTAGAGTAAACTATTAAAAAATCACTACAGATAAAGTCTGAGGACACTTAATGTTCTGAAATACCATAGGGGAAGCCAGATTCCTTTTAAGAATTTTTTCATAGTTATTGTTTACTTTGTACAGGAGTTTGAGAGACTGATTCAGTATCTGGAGAACCTCTGGAGAATTTGGGTGCATTCACACAATTATGTGATAATTGTTTGAGTTTCAAGCAACTCTTGGTTAGATTAGCATCCTGACTGAAAACGACACTCTCTAAGATAACAATTTACCAGAATTTATGAGAAACTAAAGATTACAGAACCTTTTTGAGACTGTCAGGGAACTTTTTTACTGTAACTTTAAATCTGTTAGTCTTACTTCTACTTTTAATTTTGCTGCGTAATCTTTTCTAGGATTATTTTTCTTTTGATCGTGAATATTGTAATTTATTTTTAATCGCAAGGTATGTATTTAACAGAGAAGAACCACCTCGTGGATCTGTTAAATAGACCTTCCTTATTATTGTTATTATTATTTTATTACTAGTTTCATTATGTGGCTGTAATAATAAAATGATAATAAGTTAAGAATACCAACTATATTGCAGCCACAGAACGCGGCTTCAGCTGAGGGCATAATAGCTGGTAGTATCACAGGAAGGAAAGACCCAGTTACACTACTATATAACTGTCTTTTCTAAATTTTTGATCCTGATACTTAATTCATTTGCAGCGATACCTTATTCCAAACGAGACCAGGAGAATAACAACGTTTACATGCTCCTGACGAGACCCATGGGAGGTTTCATCATCCTCGCAGTGTGAAACGAATAACTCCTAAAAATGACTTGTTTTGTATACCGACCTCCTAACCGCACTGCACTGATTGTATATGCAGAACCCAATTGGATCTGATTTTCCAATTTAGGTTATGGGAACGATGACATTTCCTTTCCTCGTCAAGAGTTTGAAGGCCAAAGAGCTAACAAACACCATTAAGACCTGGAGGAGAGCAGATTTTTGTCAGGCGTTAAACGTGTGTGAATTCGATTGGAGGAGCACTGGGGCCCATTACAGTCATATCCGAAATGGCTGCCTTACGGGGTCAATTGTTGTGTACTCGAATAGCATGGGTATCTAATCGATTTGGTGAGTTCATCTACTTTCCTTCTGCAGGATAAAAAACTTAGTGTTAGATTATTCCTACAGGCGATATTATTTGTTTTTTCGTCCGGTAAATTTCTCTAGTCATTCTCGAAAAAATACATGTTCTTCATGAATAAGTAGATGTTAATTTTACCGAACACTACTGACGCTATATACAGCAGCAGATATATCGTTGAATTAGGGTGGTAAAAAATAAGGCCAAACTTTGAACGTCTTTCTGGAGCATAATAGTTTACGTGGTTAATCGGAACATTTGGACTGTATTTCTACATTCCACATTTATAGGGGCTTTACACGCTCTCGGTTCATCGAGCAAGGATATAACTCTAATTTGCCCTTCCCAATGAGATTCTCGCAGCACACGCTAATAGACTTTCTACCGAGCTGATGAGAGTTACCTGTAAATATAAATTAACTTTCTTTGCAATTCTGTAGTTTCAAGTGTTACTTTTTCTTATTTTCACATTTTATGTTTTTTAATGGTTTGATAGACACAAGTTTTTGGGAAAAGAAATAAATCTTAAAAGCATATTCCAAACCTTAGAATTATTTTAAAAAGGATCATTCCTGGTGTCTTTCTGTTATTATTATACATTCAACCCACTATCTCTTTTCTGATTGGCTGAAAGTATACTGTGAATTTTCTTGGGACGTCATTTAGCTGCATTATACAATTATCATGTCAAGGTTACGTGTAATCATGTCATGTATAACTGCGGTGCATGATTTCTGAGAGTAATCATGTTAAGTTCATGCAATTTGTGTTGATTGCCATTAGTGAAGAGGCAAAAAAAATTCTTTTTTTCATTCAATGTACAATAAAACAATTTTTAGATTCAGTTTTTGTGTTATCTAGAATAATCAAGGTCTTGGTAAGGGGTTTTAAGTCTCAGGTTATCAGCCTCAGCTGAAATACATTATTGTGTATATGACAAAAATCTCATCCAATAATTGTTTATCATCTGGACTTTCTTTTGCAGTGAAAAGGGGTCAACCTGTTAGGAGGTTTGAAATCTACACAGAGAAAACTGAACAACGTAATTTGTTACATAGAATCATAACAGACTGGAAAACCCCAGTAAGTAGCTTGAAATAATGATATACAGGTGACACCTCTGAAAAGCCCGTCGTTCTTTTCAGCTTGGTTTTAAGTCGCTTTACTAAAGTTTGAGAGTTAAAAAAATCTCTATATGCATCAGCGTCAGCTAAGCATTTACAGATGAGCAAATATTTAGCAAGATCAAGGAAAACCCTGCACAATTTGGTGTCCACACAGAGGTTTTTTTTATGTTGAACTTGAAGCCTACAAAGTGTCATGCATTCATACAATAATTCTGTCCTGTAATTCAACAGTCACCATTTAGAACATGTTTGGTGTCCTTTGTGAACAAGTTATGTAGCTGTGGGCTCTATATTGTGCTAGAGAAATTCCTTTGGAGGTGTCAAACTGGCAGAAATGTCAAAAGTGCAAATTTGCCTTTATCTCCTCCCTTTTGAGCAGTTGGCCACAATTGTTGTTCTCTACACATTATCTAACACCTACAGCTGTATATCAACACTGCCTATACAACAACTTCATACAAGTAGTTTGTGTTGCATTTCCACCCAGGTGAATGGTTCTTCCTGTAGTAGTGTGTAGAAATGCTACATGCAAAATGATTATTTGTTATATAAAAGGTTTTCTGATGGTAAATTTTTACAAAATTTAGCTACACAAACTAAGCTGGGTTTTTTGTTGTTGTATTTTTAACAATATGTCAATATCAATCTTCATACAATTTTGTACCAAAATCTGTTGCACAGCTTTCAGATGACCACTTTTGACATTTTCTTTGGTTTTAAATACACCTCTCAGACTGATTGATGCTTTAACTCAAGTGAAAATTTCTAAAGAATCAAGTGTTCAGCCCTCTGATAACCACACATGTTTGAGCTTCTTTCAAGAGCATAGTAAAATAACCTATTGTCTTGTATGATGGTTTTTTGCTGTATACATATATTTGTGGTTTGTTTGCTGACAATGAATACCAGTGATCATTTTGTTAAACAAACCTGGTGACCCTCCTGAACTTTAGTAAGCCACTTCAGTCCATTTTCAGTCAAGTAGTTAAATTATTGTCATTGATGTTGAAGTAGCATTTTGTTCTCAGAGTTACTATTTGACAGTCCAATTTTGCAGTTAACAGAAAGTCTTTTTACAAGGTACAATTTTGTCTTTTTTCCTCAGTCCATAGTGTTCATCAGTGGAGTGTTGGGTTGTCTGTTTTATGAGCGCTTTATAGGTGAGACAATATGGCAGACCTGTGTAGTTCAATCACAATATTATTGACACAATAAGTATGAACAGCTAGGATGTAAAGCTAAATATTTAGTCATGAAGAAGGAACAAAGATAAACCACAACTGTTGTTTGTTACAACCTTTTGGTGTCACATATAAATAGCCCATGTTCATCATGTCTGGATCAAGCCAAGAAATCCGATCTACTGTGGTAATACTAAGTGTTAAGAAGATTTTTACACATATACAAGTGTGGCTAAGTTTACAGTGTTGATAACATGTAATAATAAAATGGGTATTTTCAAGAATTAGAGAGAAACATTTTTATTTATTGTCAATTAAGTAACATTTTTCTGACTTTGTTTTATGATGTCATCATTCAGAGGAACCTGATGAAACAGGAAAAAGAGATGTAAGATTATAAAAAGTTTTTTTTTTATGAACATGTACATTATATTTCATTACTTTATGGAAAGTCATTCTTTCATTAAGCTGTCATGAGTCTATCATACATAGCCATTACCATGTGCTGAAACATTTTTGTATCAATTTTTCTGTGCTTACTGATAAACACTTATTTTGTTTTATGAGAAGAACACAAAGTGGTAGATGTTACACCATTAAAATTATTATTCTTTCTTCCATGCTTTTAATTTCTGTCATTAGCCCTTGATTACAAGACTCATGATGAAGTACATAATGGCAGATCCTGATGTGGATAGAGAGAAACGAGAGAATCACATGCGTCATGTCAAAGAAAAAATGGACATTTTGTATCTTTTAAAACCTTTATAAATATATTATTCACTAGAACAATCTATGTACACAACTTCTTGCTTATTTAGTAGACTTCTTGCCCACTTGTCTCACTTGTAAAAAAATTTAACGTTTCATGCTATCCGTTTTTATTTTTGGTCAACCGTTTTAGGGCCTAAGCTATCTGTTTTTGGACTTTGGTCAACCGTTTAAATTTTTTGACATCCGTTTAAGCGGTCATGGAAACTGTTTAAACGCTTTAAACGTTTAGTATCCGTTTAAAACTTTTTTTTCTGGACCGTTTAACGGAAAAGCACTAGTGTCCATTTTCCCATGGAGGGTCACATTTACCAGTACATAATTATGTGAATGTGTGTGAAAGTCCAACATTACAAGGGTTGGTCCTGTGTGCACATGTACTCTAGTGCTTAGATGGTATAAGGCCTGGCTGATGAGCAAATTCCCTACAACTCAGTTGCTGAGCTTCAGAGAACTTGTTACCCAGCCATGACTCTTAAAGAGGACTCATATTTTTTACTTAAATTTTAAAATGGAGTTCAAAATGACCATAATGCCACACATTATCTGCAAAAAAAAGAAAAAAACACTTTCAACATTGGTCATCATTGTTGAGCACAATTGTTACTAACATGTAGTTTGTGGTTCAGCTTGCTATTAACTTCCCTATGGCTCTGTGAGTAGGGCATCATAACACAACATTGAATTGGCTGGGGTTTGGAGTATTATGAGATTTGTCCTATGCTGATCAGAAATGTTGAAAACCATCCTTTCAAAACCAACTGTCTCTCTTAATATTATCAATACTGTTACTCTTAGTTGGAAAGAAACATGGAGGTAATATTTTTTATCACATCTGCACAATGAAGCTTCTCTTTTTTCACCAGTTTATCATTTAAACTTATCCTGAAATACATTTACGAGCCATATTTCCAGTGAATCTCTCCTTAACCAGTTCTCAACAGCCAAGAGATGAAGAGAAAGCCCCGGCTTGGAAAGCAGCCATTTGATATTGAGAAGATTGAGAGAGATAAACCTACATTTAAGCCTTTTGGACCTGATGGCTACTGAGCATGTCACTGTCCTACCTGGCTTATTTCATTGTAAAAGAAAAAGCTCATCAATAATAAGCATGTTCCCCTGACGATGCAGCTCTAATTTACTTGAGTATTGGGCTATTAAAGTTGCTGAAGGGATCAATCTCATTTTGTTTTCAGTTTTGATGAAACAGATCTCAGTTTGAGGCCTTATCTTTGGAAAAGAATGTGAAGGAGAGCTTTGTGTGATTTGTATCAGGTCCAGTTCTATTTTGTCTAATAAATTATCTTTTTACCATGGTGTGATGTACAGGTGTATACACTGGGTACTCTCTAGTTACAAAACAGAGAGCTTCAAATGTTTTTAGAGTTTAATGACAAATTTCACTGTTCACACTACATTTTTATTTTGCCATCTGAGTTGCATGATCCAAATATGGGAGTCTGAAATTCTTTTGTGCTTCCATCTTCCAAGCTTAATAATAATGTAATTATTAAAAGAGAAGAATGACTGTCATAAAGTCTTTTTCTTAGTATTGTGGTTGAATACCCTTGGCTGCCACTCCCTCCCACAACCTTCACCAAATCCAAGCCTCTCAATTTCCCAAATGAATAAAGGGGTAAGTTTCTAAAGAAACTGTGGTGCTGCATCGGTGGGAGAGTATAGCAGGTAATTTAGTGTTAACAACTGGGTTGAAAACGTAAATTAGCCATCATAAAGGATAAAAAAGCTGACGTTTTGAGCGTTAGCCCTTCGTCATCACTCTGACGAAGGGCTAACGCTCAAAACGTCAGCTTTTTTATCCTTTATGGTGGCTAATTTACGTTTTAAACCCAGTTGTTAACACTAAATTACCTCTCAATTTCCCAGATTCATCCATTATATCTTAAAAAGAATCCCCATAATAAAGCCAAGTTAGAGTAGTGAACTCAATCATTTTTGCTACTGTTGCCATCTTGGTAAAATGTCCCATAAAATTTATAGAGTTACAAAAACACCTGTGGTGAAGCAGAAATGGGCAAAATACTTGATAGAAATGTTTTATTTTGAAAAGGAGTATGATATGCTCTAGGGTATAGGACATGTCACTCAGTTGTAGCCCGAAATCGCTTATTTCCAGCACTTTGTGACTCATTTTTAGATTCTTGATTTTGTTGAGCTCTTTGGTAAAGTTTCAATAACTGTGTAGCTTCCCTTAGTTGTATCCTTCGGTCCAGTTCTTGCTGGCATGCTTCCCTAATATGTTCAGCTTCAATAACATTTTTCCCCAAAACAGTGGCAAGTGAATCGGTTTCGATATTAATCACAACTTGGAGTCTTTCATCAGAAAATGAGATAAAAAAGGCAGGATCATTTTTAATTCTTATGAGAAGATCATCTGGAATGCCATCTGTCATTTCTCCTGCATCTGTCCTGTCAAATTCCATGCTTTCATTGGTCTCCAAACTTGCCCCTACACTGCTGATACTATATTCTCTACTTCCTTGACTACAGCTAAAATCTGTGGATTTTTAAAAGCAAAGAGATACTATCAGGTTTTGAGGCTAAAGCATATTTTGATTGGTGTTACCATTACCTCCTCTCCATCCCTACTTGCAGAATTACCTTTTCCTCTTAAATTACTTCAAACTACATCATTTATAATTTGATAATAGGATGGACTGGAGTGCACTTGGGTCTGCAATGATACCCTTGATTTCAATATCAGTCAAGTAGGAGTGAGTTTAATTGAAAGCAAATTATTTTAGACCAAAATTGACCAAAAGGAAGTTTACTACCCACTTTATTATATCCATTTGAAAACTTAATGGCTTTAAAAAGTGCTTAAGTAAATACAGGATTTCTGCCCTAACTATTGCATTGATTCAGTGGCAAAAAAATGGGAAAAGGTGTGATTTGTAAATATGTCACATTGCTGAAATCTGAAATCTGATTAGTTGTTCTGTTTTAGAATTCCAATCTCTCTGACAAGGAAAAACATGATTTTAAGGAAACCTTAATGCAACAGATCACACTGGTGAGAGCTACTCAGAGAACAAGGATCACACTTGGTCTGAAAATGGATTTACAATTATTAACTATACATTGGAAGCCCTCTTTAATGGCCACTGTGGTAAGCAGACAGCATCTTTCACATTTGCCTCCCTATAGCTGATCCAGACTCCCATCCAAACTCTGCATTTTTACATTCCTGTGAGTTAACTTTCTACTCTCAAGTAGTGATTCAACAATTTTCTTTGTATCACCATCTCAAAGATATTTTATCAATCAGCATTACATTAACACTTAAGAGATTGGTTAAGAGGCCTTTAAAGAAATTACTGATTGTGATACACTTTGCTATAAATTGGAAAGCTCAAGAAAAAGCTATTTATTTAAAAAACATCCCCTAACTTTATTACAGAGGTATGTTGCAGTTAGACCATTATTATTTCTATTAATTCCAAATATGATTTGTTATTTAATCACCAAGAATCAGCCCTGGTGATTTGGTGGGAGCTGTCTACAGCATCATTGCAACGTTGGATGGTACAGTAACAGGAATGAAAGATAAACTATGTTGGTACTTTGTTCTGCTGTTGTTTGTTGTTGTTATTTTGCATTCTATAAGATATTTTATAGGTGGGCATATGCACCCAGGAGGTTGTTCATAACTGACACTTTCAGTATGCACCTAACTGTATGACAACCATTCCTTCAATAGTCAACTCAATAAACTGTCTGTTCATTTTCAAGTTTCTGTTACATGAATATTCAAAATTTCTAAGAAAAATGATGTGAAGATGTATCACAAAAAGAAAGTGGAATTTGGCAAAAATGTAGTCAATGACCTTTAAAATCTGAAATTGACAATTTCATGAATTGTCAGAGTCATAAAATATAACTACTTTGTAAAAGTTTTCTTCCTGTTTTTTTCCAAGTTTCTTGGTGCTTTTGAAAGGATTAGACAACAGTTTCTCTGGGGTAAGGCATTTCAATTTTGCTTTAGGACCAAACAAGAGAAAGAGTCATAACATCTCTGGAAGGAAAATATGTAATGTGCTAGGCTTAGTCTGGGGAGATGGATAAACAGGCAGGTTAGTGAAAATCAGCACATTCTTGGAGTATTCCAAAAAAGAATATAGTTGGACATACCGTAAAACATTTCTCACAGTGAGATGTTAATATTTCCTAAGGCTGTCAGCCATCTTTCCCACAACTGACAAGACTGTCATGAGATGTTTCCAGTAACATCATTTCAGCAATAGAGTCATAACTTTCAAGCATGTCAAGTTATTGTGTTGAGGTCCTTCTTGCCCCCCCCCCCCTCCCGCGCCCTTCTCCCCTGGTTTAGGTTCCATGATGTGACTCTGAGTCCTTAAATATGTCAAAATCAACTCAAGATCATAAGTAGACAGGAATTTTGAGAAAGATGACTGACAACATCTCACTGTGGCAAAAGTGTTTGGCTGTGCAAAAGAAACTGTGTCCAAATGAAATTACACCACAGTTTTTGGAACATTTCTCTCTCTTTAGTCTGACCCCTGGTTTTCTCCCTCACATAATTCTTCCCAAAAATTGTGTGCCTGACACAGGCAAAAGTATAAATAAGGTTATACATAAGGGTTAACTATTTCATGAATCATGAGTGTTATAATTTTAATATAAAATACAGGCTATTTCCAGACAAAAAAAAGTTTTGACAAGACCGTGTCTACCTGTCAGTTACAATGTAGGATCTGTATCGGTGTAACTGAGGTAAAATTTCCACACAGCCCCATACTATTTTAAAACAAATCTGTTTTCCCAATGGCAATCTATTGTTTTTGTCATTGTTTTCTCTATCCAAGAACTGAATGCATAATGTACTATGGGGCTGTGCGGAAATTTTACCGTTTTTTTTTTTCTTAACTGTACTTATAAAAAAATACACTCAAGGATGATGACGATACAGGAGACAGACCCAAACCACACTGACAACAAATGCTTTGATAGACAAGTACAATCATTCAAACAAATTTTAAAACACTCTAGCAAAACCCAGTAAAGATATTCCTTACGTACTCTGCAAGCCAGCTGTCCAATCATCCCCGTCACAAACAATCATAAGTTTAGTTTGATCTTCCAGGAAGCTAAAATATTCTTCATCGTCGATCTCTGTTCCATCACTGTCAAGAAATACTCGGCAGTTCCCTGCTGCTATCCCCAACTTTGACCTTCCCCTTTCCTTGAGTTCGTTTAGGCTTTCTGCGACAATTCCTTGAGTTTTTGTTCGCTCTGAATTGCAAACTTTAAACGGTTTACGTCGCTTTTCTTCCATTAGTGCATGGATAGGTTATATTTCACTTCAACTTGTCCACCATGTTTCAATTCCACTCCCCAGTCTATTATCAAATTTCAAACTAGCTCCCAGGTTCTTTCGGTATTCAGTCGAATAGAAGAAACTGTTCAGACGGGATAGAGGGAAACAAGACATTAAAACCTTAATAATGTACAAGAAAAAATTACGCACTTCTGATAGGCTGAAAGCTAGTGCATTTCTCATGTAACACGAGTGTAAAGTTGTAACACAAGTGCGTATTGCAAATAGCGCGCGCTGACAAAATTTCGTCTTAACTTTCTGTGATGCTTTTTCATATAAATTATTGTCAAGTTACAACATGATTTCTCGTGCAGTTTGGTGTGAATAAGCACTTGTAAATTTTTCAATGACAAAAAATTGCAAAATTACAAATTCCATTGTCTTTGAAATTTATTCGTACTTACTCGTATCAAATTGCACAAGAAATAATGTTATTACCCATACTTACCTATACTTCTTACTTAAGCGAGAAAAAGAAGTACATGTAGATGCATGACTACAAGCAAATTTGGTTTTATTAAATGAGTTGATAATGTAAACTAGCAATCGGCAAGAGTTTCTAAGGCTGACGTTTCAAGCATTAGCCCTTCGTCTGAGCGAGAGGATGCAGCATGCAGAATGCGTCTAGTTTATGATATGTTTAGAAGAAACGAGGAGAAACTCTGTTTCCTTCTGAAAAGTAATAACTTTTCAATGTCATAGCAATTATTTTAGGTCATTCTCTAAAAAAAAAAAACAACAACAAAATTCGTTAGGTGCATGAAACATTGAACTCACTGTAATTGGACGTGTGCCAGTTTATGACGTATTTTAGTAGACACGGTACTTAATCTAGAAAAAAAACTCATTAAAAAAAAGGACAAACAAAGAAACAAACAAAAAAAAAAAAAAGAAAAAACTCGGAGCTGACGAATTTAAAAAAAAAAACTGTGAAACCTAGGGAGAAAAGGTCAGCTGTAAACATCTTTATTGATGACAGTCATTTTGCATTGATTGCCCCTTTAAGTCCCCTGCAATGAATTGATCGCTTTGGTCTGCACGCACACTTCTTATCATGGGCGGGACTGAATTGCTGTTTCAGCGATAGTGTAAAGATTTTTGCTAATGTACTGATATACTTAAACCTGATATTTGTATCGTTTAACTTGACTGAAGCGAAATAAATTAGCTGCATAGGATAATCCCTTTCCTCAGTTTTTTTCGCAGATCATATAGGTGTACCTTATACGTGCGTGAGGTGGCCTACAATTGAGCAGAGTGGAAAATAATCAAATTTGAATCACGCGTTTTAACTTTCAATCAACTTTGTCGAGTGTTTACACGAAATACTACGAACACACAGATAACTGCAGAAATAGCTAAGAGAATTTGCTGTCCTGGGAAATAACAGAAGTGTGAGATTGAGACAGAAACTTATCACCCAGAAGGGAGAAAGTTGAGAGACTTGGTTGTTTAGCATGATTTGCACTGCTTCTTTTTAGGTCAGTGCGCTATTTTCCCACCATCGATAGGAATTTTTCACGTCATTAGACACTTTCATGTAAATAATAAACGATGGTATTTAGCCCATGCCCTGATAGCAGCAATCATAAAGCAGACAATCACAGGCAAATGACACTATTTTCTGTTATGCGTTCTCCATCTGAGAGCAAAAACATGCCTTACAAGGGTTTCTGGGACAGTGACAGGTTACAACATCGGATTAAAAGTACTTTGCCGTTTCCTTTCTTTGATTAATAAAATGATACCTCACACTGAGTTTCATGAAACTTCAGCGAGTGTAAAACTAATTTATGGTGGCCGGATATCCCAAAGAATTTTGATCATGCACCGTGAGTCTCGTTAATGGCCTCGTGACCAGAGAAAAAAAACACCCAAAAAGTTACAAAAACAGATGATGTCTCAGATGTGGTTTAGATACCTTCAGCTACAGAACAAAGTCTGCTCGCTATCCAGAATTATTCTGCCAAAGTTTCAAACGCAATAGACCTCAAAGTTAGCTGAAGAGTAACACTTCATCCTACTCAAGAACTCGCGTAATCAACCACAAAAGGCGGAAGTCGACCCTTTAAGGTTGGTTTGTTATTTTGTTTTTCTTAGTTTACGTTTGGCCTAAAAGGAAAATAATCGCGGAAACTTCAAAAGAACCTGGGGTTTGAGTGTCTTTCCTCAACAGTGCAAAAAGAGAAAAAAAATTTATTCTTTCTTTTTAACGGGGGTGTAAATGAATTGATTGCAATTTGATATGATCACGAGTATTTGAGTTGTATCGACAAGCAAAGAGGTTGAAGTGTTTGGTTATTCTGTTGTATATTCTTACTGACAGGATTAAAAGTTGTTACGTTAGTTTCCAACTTACAACAAAGAGTCGAAGGAACAAAAAGACAATACCCGGTTGTCTGTGATCATCAGCAGTGCTGTTTCACCAGACAGGTCCGGCAGGAAGCTTTATGCATGCATACGCCAATGATTAACAGTGCTATACTCGAGAAAAGTTAACTTTCGTGTAAAACAGTTGATGCGATCTAAACTCTGATTTCGTAAATTTATCCCAGAAAGGGTATAATGCACAGCATATAGTGAGGGCAAAGAAAGATACGTGTATCTGATCGATTATCGTCATTCTGTTTTTGATAGCCGAGGGCATTACGATAGGTACCTAATTTTTCCATTAATTTAAACTTTGAATACCCTCGTGAAAATTTTAAAACACTTTGAATTAAACTGAATTTAACCTGGAAAAAAATTAGAGTTATTTTATGACTTCTAGTTCTAAAAAATACCGTAGCCATGCTGTAAACACGTGTAGCAGTTTTCAGGTCATCATCCTTCCTCACTGTGGTTCCAACAGAGTATTGCATTGTTGATTCCTACAGAGTAATATGAAGCTTAATAATAAATGGATATGGGTGTGGGTTTTAACTTGCTACACACTTGATATTAGTAATAACAAAAAATTTCAACTGATCAAGCCTTTTACTTCACAACGAAACTCATTTCCCCTTCTCTACCGATGTTGTTTGTGAAGGGTTGTCGGTTGTGTGCGATATCCGTTCAGGGAACACGTATTTCCTCCGTCGTGTTGGTCAGCATCCTAAGATAGGTTTGCTTCATAATCATGACAATTAACAACGGTACAGTAAAGTAACTGTATAAAATCGATAAATGTAATGATGGTCTGCGGCTGTGAATGCCGTAATACTCATGTGTAGTTCTGATGGTTAGTATTAAAAGTCCAATGGGTTTAGTCAGGAACATCAATAAAGTGTTAAGCAATCACTTAAGAACTATTCGTCTGTATTGAAACAAGAGCCTTGTTTTTTTTTTTTTTTTTCCTTTCAAGAAAAGAAACCGCACAGTCAGTTTAGTTGTTAATCTCAGTCTTCATAAATCAATAATTTTCGCTACACATCATGCGCATCTCTACATGATTATGACATCGATTGAGGTTTTTTTGCTTCTTTGTCTTTAAAAGTCAAAGGTTGCTTTTAAAGATACAAAAACCCTGAGGACTTAAGTTCTGCTCTCAGTAAACTAAAGCTCATTGATCTTTCGTCGATATACGGAAGGAAATGCTTAGAGATGAATGAGTATCAAAGTTCGTTTTCTTGGGTTTTTATTTAAGTACGTTGAATTCATTCATTTCGCACTTGCACGTGGCACATTTCACTGAAGAAATCGACTTTGGGCAGCTCTTGATGAAGCCATAAAACCTTAATTCAAAGATTTGGCCTAAAATGAGAGAATGTAAAACTTTTGCTACAATGACTTGATTCCCAGCACCTTAAGTCAAAGCATTCCTTCTACGAACAATTCGAATATTACCCGTCCTGCAAGCTTCGATATATTGTTTCAGCTCTCGAAAAGTTAACATGCATATAACCGAAGGAGAACACCCATTTTGAAATATTCTTACTTTGAATGTATTCAACTTGTAGAAAAGAATTTTGATTGATAAAGATCCAAAGAAAGTACACTGCATTTACGTCATGTAGAAAAATTAGAAATTTGATAGGGTCAAGATGAAGGTATCGCCAGGCGAACCGTTTTACGATTCTCCCTGCAGCCAGCATGACAAATCTGCGTATTTCAGTCTCCAGAGAAGTGTTGTGAATTCTTTTTGCGACTAAAATGAAATTGTGCATTAGACATCATCATGTGCGTAACTGTATTGAACATGTCTTTTCATTCGCACGCAGACTTCTTTCAGCGATTAGGAAAAAAATAACCATTTCTCTTAATTCATCCTAGCCAAACAAATTAAATGACATGACTGATTAAATGATTAAGCTTACTAATCTTATTGCCAATGCTGAAAGCAAACTTACAGTGTATTTCAAGGGCAAAATATTGTTGGTAATTCATGACCCATACCAGTCCCTTGTTCATCCTAGAAATGTCTAACTCATCACTTAATGGTTCAAATGGGGCGTTCGTTTTCGTTCATGATAGACACAAAACTGTTTTCATATCATGAAAAGGGAAATCTGCTATGAAATTAAACAGCAGCAAATGCATGTAATTCAGAAAAATGGAGGAAAATTTCTCCCCAAAAAACTCCCATTTCGGATGCTCTGAATAGGTTTGCTTTCATTAATCAGTTATTCAGTGATTTCTGTGATCTCTAATCATAGAAATATTTTATGAAGCGGTCATTGTTCTACCACTTTTGTTACCTTATTTTTTCAAGACTTAGTTTCGAGATGTTTGAGCTGGAGAATGAGTTGTGAAAAAAACGTAAAATTGGGCCTTTGAAGGTCGACAGTAACCTTAAGCTCGCCCGAAAACAAACAGGAATACGCTGAGGTAAAACACTGTACACTCGAAACAATGGAGCGAATACTTTTAAACGCCTAAACTTTCGAACAGGAAAGATACGAGGAGACAGCCATGCTAAGAAGAAATATCGTATCCCTTATAAATTATCAAAGTCATGGACTTGACTTGATCTCCAAATTCTTTCTTTCTTCCTTCGTGGCTGCTTGAATCATAGATGCAGCCAAATGTTACGCCAAGGAATCTTTTCAGTTTTGACTGGCAAAAGAACTTCTCTGCTTCTACTATTTTCTATGAGAAATTTCACTATTTTTCTACTTAATTTTGGGATCGTTAATAATACAAAGGCATTGTCCACCTGGAAAATCGATTAATAAAAAGTGTCCCTGAATTAAGACTGAGACAATGTTGGGGGCTTAAACCAGTTGCATCATGATTAAACTGTCTACGAGGTCACAATTTGTCAGACACACGTAATGGGTTATACAGTCATTATACAAAAGCTATTAGGCCATTTTTTCCTGAGAAAACTGCACGAGCATGGTAACGAAACCGCACTTGTCCTTTGAACAGCTTTGTTTTCAGAAGGTTACATGTTAGAGTCAATTGAGACCTTCTGAGTCTAAAAATAAAGCGATTGGAACTAATTATCTTATTGAACTACGGCTCTTGAACGTATGTGGGGAAGCAGGAAAGTATCAGTAAAGGTGGCAATGTTGAACGGTACATTTATCTAGTTTCTTACTTGAAGTCAAGTGATCCAGCAAAAGTGTCCCATTCTTTTCTTCTGCTCATCAACATCTGTGTCATTTGTCTTCATTTGCTGGAACGAAGGGATTTTTTAAATCGCTTTTTTGAGATTGTTCCGGTGACGCCTCCTGGTGAGGAGACGGCAGCCGGCCATAATAAACGGAAAGAGAAGAAATATTCAGGAACTACTTATCAACTTTTTTTCATTGTCATTCTTGTCAGATCTTACGCAATTCCAAACGTTATAAAGATGTTCCAAATTTGATATTTTTTGAGGCTCTTTGTTCATGACTTCTCTTTGTCCGTACGATATCACAGTTCAATTTAATTCAAATGTTTCTTTCATAATCCTATTTTGCGTAAATGACGAAATGACCCTAACAGATACACAGCAAAAAATAAGTCTGGCAATGATCTTTTTTATTTGTTTGTAATACTATTTACTTGATTGTTGTAGACTTTCCACAAGAACTCATCATTGTTACTCGTCTCAGTCTTTGAACTGAAAAGATTCAAAAGCTTCTCCGATTAAGTGATGGTTTCAGAGGTAATTATGATTTCGGCGTCAAACAAAATTATCTTTGTAAAGCCGGTTATGAATGGGTTTTGACCTTGTGGTATGAACAGTTAATGTTTGGATTAGTCTCTGGTGGCATTGCATGCAGGTAACACAGCGTGTAAAGATATCGGCCTTGAGAGAGGATCTGTGCAAATATCTAGAACCCATCCTCCATTCCACACACATAAGGCGAAACTACGTTGTGATCGATTGCACCCAGAAGAAGGCGTGGCACATGAAAGTCTACTACGTTAGGCGCAATTCAACAGTCCAGCTCAAAAACAGGTTCTTTCCCTTTCGTTCAATTTACTCGGGATATTCACAGGCATAGTAATGAAGCTCCTGGGTTTTTTGTGACCGAGTTGTACATCGAGTCATACGGGTTTGTTTAAAGGAATTCTTCATACTTGAACTTGAGCGTCAAATCGAGAGAAGGTGCATGTAATTTGAGTGATGAATTGACCAAAGAGGTAATTGTACGTTCTCGCAGACTATCCGTTTAGGCAAAACCATGAATCTGACAGGAAAGTCATCTCGCATCCTTATGAGTTAAGTCCATGCCATGTTTTTCAAATATAATCTGCGGAGCGACAATGCAAACACTCTGTTTTTCTTGCCGCAGTCAATCAAATTTTTTTATTGCCCTTTGGGGATTTTACCTTTTCGACCATTGACATTCCAAATTTGTACGTGGTATTATTTCTTGGCTTCTTGTGAAGGCCTTTGAATGTAACTGCATGACTTTGGTGGAGTCATGGGGGTGGGTCATGGTTCTCTTTCGTCGGCCACGCCCATGTTCCGGCTTGGGATACGTTAAAACATAGAAGGAAACGAGAGGAATATCTCTTTTTCATCTTTCTCCTTAATTGAACTCTTGTGCACCACACCTGGCGGCACTGGGGTAAATTGATAAGCTGATTTTACGTTTGACCTTCTTATCAATAAATCATTTCTACCACACGTACTTTATATCTTCGGTGAATCCGGC